CGGACAATAAGGTTAAACAGTCTTCTTCTTTTTATAATCATTATTGTTAAGGTTGTGAAGAAACGCAAGCTAACGAAAACGAGTAAGTCAATTGAAAGCGATGATGGATCAACTGCTAAAGTTTCACGATTGACAACTACAGAAAATGTAAATTTTTGTCTGATTGTGCGATAGTTACCGTTTTTGTTTAGGGTAACGATCCGGTGGACCCAAAACCTTCTGAAACATCGAACGGCAGTGAAGTGAAAAAGAAAAGAGCGAAAAAAGGAGAAGAAGGAAACTAAAGAGAAAACATCTTCGAAAGAGGTAAGTTTGTTATGCTATCCTTTTATTATATTTAATGCTCACTTCAACGAATTCAAGTAATGGTTTAGAGTCAACGAAATGGATCCACTAAAATGCTCGATGATGGGGAGATCCCTCCAAGCCCGATGCCTTTAAAGGGTTTGGTTTAAAAACTATGGTTTTTACCTAACTTTCTAGTGATATATGATTATAATTATTCCTTTATTTTAGAACGTGTCAGCCGCAAAGTCGATCCCAAAAGGGATTGATGATGGGGTAAATGAAAAACTTTCGGCAAATGATGATTCCGGTACCGAATTTCATAGTCATTTTCTTGTTTTATTTACCCTACATTTTGTAATACGTCTAAATATGCATTGTTTTAACTTTTTTGTTGTTGGTAGGTCTTATATTTTTGTTGTCAACCTCCGAATGGATCTCGTTATGTTTTGTATTTATTATGGGTATTTCGAAAATTGAAATGCAAAATTGTTTTATCATTGAGCAAGAACGAAAAGCTGAAATCGATTCAAAATTTGAAGGAACACGTAAACAAAAACAACTTTTAGAGATGATTTGAGAGATTGGAGGAAATGTGGCATGGAAAAGATGAAAAGAAATAGGGGCAATGGGGAATGAAGGGGAGAAATGAGGAGGGGAAAAGAAGAAAATGGGGAATGCTTTCACTGGAAAGACTGACCTGTCTCTGTTTTGTGGATTCGTCCACATGTAAACACGAAAGCGAATTGAGATTTCTCATCTATCATCGATTCTGTTAAGTAAACGGATAACTTTCAAGCTTTTCATTGACATTTTATTCTCTGGGCCATTATCCAACTACACTCAACTAGCGCTTTTCTTACCGAACTTTCAGGTGATTCCTCGAACTTTTGATCTGAAAATTGGCTGATTGAGCTGATCTTAGAATACAAAATTTTAGTAGCAATGGCTGATGAACCATCAACATCTTCATCAGATAGTAATGTCGGCCGTGTGGCCGCATCACTCACAATTTTGGTCACTTCAGCAGTGACAATCTATTCGGCTTGTCTCCGCTCGTCAACTATATATTTTTATGAGGTGAATGCATTCAATTAGACTTTCTTTTACCCGGTTCAATTACCCAATTCTTAACTTCTGAAAGCATTTACTTTGACGTTTCAGCTTGATTCAACAACAGTGATCTTCATGGCAATGCCTTTGGCTGTCGTTTTTCCGTTGCTTTTATCGTTGGCACTTTTCATTTCGTATTTGAGCAAGAAGCCGAAAGAAACTGGTGTACAAACGTGTGAATCATCGCCAAAATTGACACGGGTAAGCGGGGCCCACAATGAGCATTCGTCTAGAGCATTCGTCTCTAGTTCTGTTCAACTGGATCTTTCATTTTTCCTCTTAGTTCAACCACTGTCCTTCCAAAGGCTTGTGGATCGGTTCGGCCCCCAGTTTGGGGTGCGACCCGCTTTAACCTTATCAACGAGGATGCTTCTGTTTTAAGAATGGCCGAATAGCACAAAAGGTTAAAAGGGTTTCCCCCAAAAGCGCTTACAACGTAACAAGAACACGTAGTATCCAACAATAGATTAATACTCTTGAGAAGAGTGCAGATCGGATTGATACTACGTCGATGGTGACACAAATGTTAGTAAGCTCTCTCTACAATGTTAAACCAGTTATCTAAACAGGATTTAAAACCTGAACGGTAGCATAAAGTAAAGTGAATTTATAACGTTACTGTTTATTAGTACAGAACCGAAATGCAACAATACCCATTACAAAAACAGCATGCGCATCAAAAATGAAACAACAAAGGGGGTGGGACAAATGCGACCTTTTTTTTGCGCACCTGGACATTTGCGCACCTTTTTTTGCTGGAAAAGGCCTTAGGAAAGGTCGTAGAGCTTCGAAAATGAAACAACAAAGTCCCCCAAGGAAGAAGGCAAAAACCCGCAGACCAAAAAAATCATTTTGGGAAGGGAGAAAAAGGACGAAAAATGCGACGCGAATAATTGCAAATAGGAAGGAAACGGACGCGATCATTCGTCTAGAGTCAATCTTTTTCATTAATTTGAATTCAGCGATCAACTCGTCGAATCTCTCATATTTCATCGGATCTTCGAAGAATTACAGAAGAAAGAGACGACTATTCGCCGACGAGAACGACAAGTGAAAGTACGAAATATTAAAAATGAAAAAGTTTAAAAGTTTTGATTTCATTGTTTTCCATTAACTTGATTGACTATTTATTTGCTTTATTGAAAATCTTTTAGAGAACCAATTGGAAACCGAGAAACTCGTGGAGAAATTGGAGAAAGAAATTGGACCGATCGAGACGGGAAGCGGTGAGGTGCGGACAAATGACATCATGGTAACTGATTAGAGGCACAAATTCAACGTTCATACTAGGTTTAGTCAAAGAAAACGCGAAAAGATTCGACGACGATGACATATGAGAGGTTGGAGGATTTGAGTGAGGCAGAGGAGAAGAAAGACAAGATAGATTTTACATTGGGTGAGGCGAATATGAAAATTTGAATTTCATATCGAAATCAATTCAGATCCGGCCACTGAAGTTGACGATTTGGCAGAGAGGAAAACGGCTGTGCAAAGCGATTTCGATGACTCGTCAACGGCTCTGAACTCGCGACGATCAAGCTTTGCTAGCAAAATGCAGGTAGGGGTGATTTGGATAGTCTTTGGAATTTGTAATTCATTCTAGAAAGATCTAAATAAATCCCGGAAGATTAGCCTTCTTCAAAAAGAAACGTCGGCAATTGAAGTGAGGAAAGATTTATGTGAATTGCTGAAAGAAGTCGAACAGGTTCGGTCTTAAACAATTACGAGTCGATTCAAATTACAGACGAATATCTGGACCTACGCTCTTGGGGGTTTCGATTTGAAGATAATACCGCATCGAAAAATCACTCAATTCAAGCCGAAACATTCGTGAGTACTCGAGGAATCCTTTACCTTGAGGCTTTAGCGACCGTTGCTCCCGGGTGCTGTAGTCAGGTCACACGGGCGGAGCGCATCAGAGGTGCAGAGCCAAAGCCTAGCAACATATATGCATCTAACGTCTATTCAGTTTTAAATGGCGATACCCCAAAAGTAACAACAGTTGAAACTAGCGCAGATCAAAAATTGTGCCCTGCCGGGCTCGAACCCTCAACCTCTCGCTTACCGAGCAACTATGTTAACCAGTACACCACAGCTTGTTTGATCTCCCTTGCTACAGAGGGAGTTAAGCCAATCACCAAAAACAATCAGCCCAAGAACTTTTTGTGTAAAATTTTGCTAACAATATTTCAATACAAACAAACCAGGTAGTGCGTTCTTTCTACGTCAGTCGTAGGAAAAAATGCATCTGGCACACTGCTCTAGATAAAGACGACCGGGAAACCTTCTAGCCGGTTTAATTACCCAAGGAAAGCGCGGCTTTTATGCGGGACTTGATTGAGGTTAAATTGGTGTTGAGGGTTTAGAAAAAGCTCGGATTAGATTAGAGAAAGTGATCAAGTTTTTCTTTTCAAATGTTCAACTAAAATCTAAAATCTAAAAGCTTTTCAGAATCCTCAGCCTAATCATCGAAATCTTGGCCACTCACGTGCCAATTTGGCTTTGCGTTGGTGCTTTCTACGTGATCACTCTCGAATTTCTTCGTTTAAATTTCGGTGATTTCATAAAATTAAAAAAACTAGCCAACGATGACCCCATCAAATTCAGCCTATTATTTCTATTTCCACGAGGACATCATGGAATTCTCGGCTTTATTCTTGGCGTTGAGTATCGGTGCAATTCACGAGTTCAAGAGTCATTGGATCACAAATGATATTCTAGCTTTGTGCAGTATTTATGTGGTTGTCAGTCGGTTACAGGTAACCACCACAGGGAAACACATATGAATCGATGAATTTCACACAACGATTTTAGCCGATCTCATTTCATTCAGCCACCGCTCTCATTGTCGGTTTTTTCGCCTTTGATCTTTTTTGGCTTTATATCATCGATTTATTGTCCACTGTCATTAAGGTAAATCATGGATATTCAAATTCTCTTGTTTTTAAATGCAATTTGATAAATCTTAGTTTCGGTTAATTTTTCATTAAATTCCAGGAATCCAAAGCTCCAGTGATGTTGATTGTGCCTCGGGATAACCTTGGAAATAAACAATCTCTAGCCACACTTGATGTCATGGTTCCAGGTATCAAATACGTTCAATGCAAAAACCAGAAGTGTCTAGGTGTCTTCCTGAATCTCGTTCTCAAATACAGCTCAATGTACGACAAGAGACTCTTCAATTTTGATTTTGTCGCTTTATTTGGAAGTCTATTGATCACCACTTTCTTGGCAATATGGAGAAAGTACGTATGGAAAAGATACCGTAATCCTTGCACCAAAAAGAGATACTGTATTCCCCGTAACAGATACCGTAAATGGGTTAACACTTGATAAGCTGAGAAGGACTGCTGTAGGCTTACCTCACATGTATTACGGTAAATCATGGAAATTCCAGAAAAGTCACCCCAGCAATGGTTCTTCCGGCCATCGCCCTCATTGCGGCGAGTTTATTGCTCACCAATTCACCGATGAAATTATGGAAATTCATGATCAAGCATTAATCACAAAACAACAAGAAATTAAATAAAAGCTAACTCTAAATCTCTACATCAAATCTACGCCTAAAACAATATTTACAAAATCGCACACAAAATTGATCACTTTTTTCGAAAATCGGACGGTTTCGGGAAGATTTTATTCCACAAAGTTTTCCATCGCGACTCTCTGTCGAATCCCAGATATTTTCGCCCATTTTCGCTATTAATTTCCTGTAAAGCCGTTTAGTTTTAACAATTTAAAAGCCTTAACCTGTAACTGATGTAATTTTTGTCCAAAACATCCGGCAACGTAGTCGTGGGGATATTGCTTCAAAACCTCGTTGTTCAGAATTCTTTCCAGAGCTAAATAAATGAGGATAAGATATAAATCATAGTTTTATTTTAAACTCGTCAACTTGAGGATCATGGAAATTACTGTATATAGCAAATTTAATTAAACTCACCAATGTATCGCCTCTCACAAATTACTGGGTCATCTCCGAAAACTGTTGGATCCTTCTAAAAGACGACACATGTAATTCAAAGCCTCGAATCCGCTTACTCGAAATTTTTGTATTTGTAACTCCAAATGGTGAGCGAGATTTCTTTCGGCACTTTTATGTGGATCTTGCGGCCATTTCGCTACCAGCCTCAAAAATTGTTTATACTGACTGGCCTGTCTCGACGTCATCTAAAATTAATATGCTTTAAACTTCCAAAACAAACCTTGTGATTTCGATAGGTATTCAAAGTCACAAACTAGAGATAAATCGCCAATTTAACGTAAAAATTTATTCAAAGTAAAAACAACAAAATAACAAACCAACAACAAATGTAAACAACCAACAATAACACTCACAAGTCGCAAAACGCAAAACAAAAAAACTCAATCAACGAGATCATCCGAATCCATCGTGTTCTCGGTTCCTTCTTGCTCTGGATCGATTTGCATCAAATGCATTTGCCCATCAACTTCAAGTTCTTCAAGATGAAGTTCGGGAAGGTCGCTCTTTTGAATCTAAAATGCGTAAGAATTAGGAAAAAATAAAGGAACTTTTCGAACTATAAGAGTAAATAAACTTATTGATTCCACTACATATTCACTATTAAATAAAATTCTTTCAAACCTCGATTTCCGATAACTCATTGGCCAAATTTTTGAAAACCATTTCATCAACGCATTGCACCCAAAGCAGCAGGTCTGAAACTCAATAAAATTTGAAAAGCTTAAAAAACCAATCACCTGTTAATAGAAGGTCGTTGTAAAGATACCGAAATTCTCCACCTTTCACCATTAGACTGTGAACTTTACTCAAAGCGTGGATCATCGCAGTTCGTCCTAAATTATTTTACCTAGATTATAACTTCTTTTAAAAATAAACACCGTTTTTGAAGAGCTCTTTCAGGTCGGTCAAAACAGCTTGGCAGAGATTCCAGTTCCTAAAATATATTGAGTAATTGAAAAAACGGTAGCCAAACCTGTACAAAGGTTTAGTCAGCGCACGAGAAAAGCCAACAATGATTGTTTGTTTAATTGAATTGAAACGAGCCAACCAACTCAAGCTAGCAGAAAGTTTCTCAATTGTCCAAGCTCAAATTATATAATATCAATGTTCCTTTTTAATGTGCAAAAATACCTGATTCAACTGAGTTCTCCCATTCAGTTGTTCGTCCATCGTAACAAAACGCGAATCCAATGTCAATGAGTGAATACATCAAAAACTTCAATTCTTCTGGTTTTTGCCTTAATTTATTAAATTTACCCAATTAGTTTAGCAAGTACCCTCAAAACTTACTTTGGAATTTTTCGATTGGGTAGATTCGTGAGACGCTTTATATCCGATTTTGTTAACCGATTTACACATTCGAATTCCAATTTTAAAATGTGCTCGAGTTGATCATCTGGTTTAAATGTATCCGCTCTAAAGACTCTATAACAAGGTATGAGGTTAAACTTACAAATAGTGATCAGCGTTGAAATTTTTGACATCCATTTTATAGCATTGTGAGGCACGTTCATCAATTGGTGAATTCTCTGGATCCTCCAGCTCGACAAGTTGTCCTAAATCAACAATTTCTAATTGGTATTTTAATCCGTCTAATAAATGATTGTAAAAGTACCAATAAATATTAAAACTCCGAAATAAAAAACCTATTTCCGCCATCAATGATCCCAAAACGCCACTTTTCTGCCAACCAAAACCATAGCCTGTTTTTGATCCACTCGTTATTTTCTCATCAATCGACTTTGGTTGTTGTTCCATATAGTAATCATCTAATAAGATAATACAACCGAAATCATCAACAAATGCTACCCTCACTGTCCTCACTCTCGATTTCCTCGTCGCCACGTTGATTAATACCACCAGAAACCTAATCGCCATAAAATAATCGTGAATAATAGCCCAAATACCTCTTGGACCAATGGTTCAGCAGTTGGTTTCTCTCGTTGTGGCCTCAGCAGTTCGGTAACCATGTCCAAACCAGGGAAATGCTCGCCTTTGATCTTCTTGGGAACGCATATCGTAAAAATTCCTAAAAAATAAAGTTTAATCCGGATTAAAAAAACACTCACCAGCATCTGCGTCATATTTAGCCCATCCTGTTTCATCGTCTAATACCTGTTTAGGCAAATGTATTCTAAAACCAATAAGTCAATAAGAGAAAAAAACTGAACCTCAAATAATAGGGTTTGCTGCTGAATACAAAAAGATCGTCACAGTATTCGACTTCGGTGTCCGAGATCTTTGCATAACGTGCATGGATCTTGATGATGAGGTTGTTCTCTTCTTGTTCTATCTCGAAGATGGGCGTAAGCATACCTAGATAAAAAACTGAAAATCCCTTGTTACTTTCCATACATATTAAAAAAAAACAAGCCCCGCAACTACTACGCCTACTACGGAAATTCACAAGAAATGTACTTGGTGCTTCGATTTTCAATTTAAAGCATAAAAAGGATAATCGGTGTAGGACCAATCAAGAAAAAAACTTTTTGAGATCAATATTTATTGCTTCATGTAAAGTTTGACAATCAACATTACAATTTTACTGTTTTTGTTTCTCTACCAGTTCGCTTATGATTTTGATCCAGTCTTTTCTCCGTTGTACCGCAAAAGAAGGGTCAACTGTCAGCAAATCGTTCACCCCACTTAGACCTTTCTAAATTCAAATGTTTTTAAATGCTAATTGAAAATATAACCTCTAACAGTGCCTGGATGACTTCAAGTGCAAAAACTCCACAATCACTTCCATTTTGCTGCTGTGGTGTTTCTTCGCTGCGAAACTGAAGTGGCTCCACTGAACGAACGAGTGATTTTGAATGTTTAGCTACCTACACAAAACGTAGATTTTTAGATTCGTAAACGAGCAAAAACCTCTTTAGCCGCGCGATCGTTTCGATTTTTGAGGCTATCGTAGTGGTGAAAACATTGTGTTTCCCGTGAATATGCTAGAACAGACCTAAAAAGATAGAAATTAATTTTTAGATGGGAACCTAACTTACCAATGACTTCCACTATTTGCGATTTTCGGGTGACTATTATCGTTAATGATAAACACAACCTAAAAAAGCCTTGTAAACGCTTTCTTATAAGAACAAACCATAGCTTTTTCGTGTAAATTTAGTGAGCCAAATATCCCCTCGACGGAATCGGGTAAAAATTTGATTGCCTCACATTCTGGCGCACAAATTAAAGTAACCTAAACAAATGATTGATTACTATCAGATAAACAAGCAAACAAACCATTTCTTTTCTATCCGGGTCAAGATTTTCATGAATATATTGAGAGCCGAATGTAAGTAATCGATCATTGAGCCAAATCCCTGGTCTAAATTTTCCGATAAGTTATACTAACCACGTATGCGCTGATATAATTTCATTAACGAACAGTCTGCCAAAAAAGAAGTGAGCTGACAAGCATACCTCACCGCAAGTATTCCAGGTCCTCCTTTAACAAAATCACATCTCCAAATGAGAGTAATCGATCAGCCATCGTGACTAAAATAGTTACAATATAACAGGAAAGTCTGTCTTGCAACCGCGCAAAGATAAAACTGCCCAAAAAACAGATAAACAATTCTATTAAAGAAAAGGAACAATTTATCGGAAAAAAAAAGATTTCAAAGATAAAACATCACATTTGCATCACAGTCACAAAAAATCAAAAATTTTTCAAATCAACAACAATAGTTAGCTAAATGCTGATCAATGGTTACCAATCATCGTCGGGTAAAGCTTCTAAGACCATTTGTTCTCCGCCGACCTCTCTTGACCTTGTCATAGCGACAGCTGAAGTTGGGTTCTAAAAGAAACTGTTGGATGATGTATGACACAAAAAACAAGTACATCGAGCATTTTGTCAATTGTCTCCACTATATGTTTCCGGTCCAAATCCGAGAAAATTTCATATTGCTCCTTGATGATTTCATAGCGAACATCTTGCGGACTTGCGAAGAACTCTAAATTGCTGACAATGAGCTTCCAATAAACTTAAACTAACTATCGCTTTTAAACGTTTCGAAGTCGAACTTGAAATTGGTGACTCGGTGTCCATCTGTGCTTGTCGTGTTATGGACATTCGGTGGAAGTGCGTGAAAGTTTGGGATAAGACGCTAAAAAGAACTTTAAAAATAGATAAATGATCATCACCTGTGATCGTGCAATTAATCCAATACGATCACTCGATCCATCAATTTCTGATCTAAAAAAATAAACAAACAGCATAGCAGTCAAAAAAATCAAATAAACGCTACCACTTTTGGCGATCCAATAATTATCAAGCAACTTCAAAACCTACTCATATTTGTCCTTGCTCACAATAATCCCATCGACTTCTTCACAATATTGCAACAAAGCGTGATCGTCGTAAGTGGTGCTTGGAAGTTCGTCAAATACGTCGAGCCCTGCCAATTCCTAGAGTGAACCTTCTATTAGAATTTTTCCATAAAAGAACTTACCGCAAAACAAGCAACATTTTTGACAACATTGGCTAATGTATATTTCTCTCCGACAAACGCTCGAACGTTGAAATCGTTAACCAAAAAATATCGATAAATGACTAGCAGCGAAAGGGCGTCAAGTTTATCACTAAAAGTGTTTGTTGTTAATTTTTCGGATACACTTACCCTTTCGTTGCATCCTTAGCCGCCCACAATAGATTTGCTGCATCCAAGACAATTGTCCGTCGTATTAATCCTTTTTTCTTCCAATCCTAAGGCGAGTTTATATATAGAACGGATAGAAACGTTTAACGCTGGGTGGCATCAGAAATCCAAGCTGGTCGAATGTAAACATCTCATCCCTTCGTGCATTGGCGAATCGCGGATACATCCAAAAATTTAATAGAAAATGACTGCTAAATTTGAAAAAAAAAAAAAGCATAAATCGCCTTTCGTGTAAATTTTCGCAAGCTAAAACTTCTCGATGCATCAAGAGCAAAAAGTAAATTAGACATAAACCTTCCAGCCAATGAAAAAATTATGCAAAAATTTATTTGTACACGCAAAAAAAGAATAAACATGACACAAAAAAAACTATTGTTGATCGTAAATCCATTGTCGACCATGAGAATCAAAATCCTTGTAATTCTTGTCAACGATCCATGGCTGATCTCCGTCTTTATACCGACAAATCGGATAGTCATAAGGCAAACCACATCGAGATGGATCCTGGAATGAGATGAAAACAAAAAACAACAGCACAAATCCAACCTGTACCAAAACGCCCGCTTCCCAACTTCTCACAGCCAATTGTTCACCGTTTTTCTGGATTTCTCCCCAAGCAGCTTTTGAAAGATTTGCAGATGTTATCAGTAACCATTTCAATTCTCGATCTGCTCCTATTTCACAGTAAGACTAAAACTTTTTGTTTCTGTTTCAAGAAGTAAGTTATTACCTTGACATGAGGCATGGCTTTATTGCGTCCACGCTTGTCAGAGCGCCATTTACATAAGTGAGCTCTAAAATCTTCTAAAATTAAAGTTTAAGTTTTCTAAAAACCTTAACCAGGTTTGTTTTTCGTGGGTTTTCGATTGATACGGCAAACTTCCGCCAGCACTATATCCTTCATATGAATGCTGAACATCTTGTATGGTTGGGTAAACGAGATAGACTCGTGTTGAACCTAAAAGGTGGTAATAAAAATATGTACCATTTCAATACCTTTTGTTCGACCGCCACGAAGAGAATTCAAAAATTGGGACAAAAACCATTGATCGGGTTTCTGTCCAAGAGATCCTTAAAAGAGCTTTTATAATAAACTAATAGAAAAGTACCAATAGAACTGCATTGAGCTATGTACAAAGCGTTGGGGTCCAAAGTCCTTTCTTTGAGCGCATTCCGCAAACCCAATTGTGCCATCTAAAATAATTACACATATTTAATAAAAAAATACTAATAACCTTGTCCTTCGTCGGTTTTTTATGATATCCAGGGCAAGAATAAATGAAGTGATCATTGTTATCGCCAAAATCCGCGTGCTCTATATATTTAATCCAAGGTGCAACAATTGGAAGGTTATACCTAAGAATGACTGCTGCATAAAAGCACCAAAAAACAAACATTTTCAAATATTCGCTGAGATCGTTTTGGAAGTTACAACTTTGATTTCCCTCGCCATTTTCTAGTTTCGCCTTGCAATAATAAAACATCTGAGTCTTTTCTTGCCAGTCACCTAAATAAATATAGAGATAACAAAAAGCAAAAAAGGAGCTAGCCTTTGACCAAATTTGCTGTAGATACAATGATATGCAGTTCGTCTTTCACTTTAAGCAGAGACAACTTTGTATGATGAGTTCCGTACGGTATGGGGAGATGAGCGCCGGAAACCTAAACCAGAGCAAAGGTTTTCAGAAAAAAAATTCTTGTAAACTTGTATGTTATCGAGCTTCAATAGTTTGATATCTCTTCGAAGTGAAGCTGCATCACTTCCCATTTTTTCACCAACAACCAAGTTGATTGGCGTCTGACGACACGATTCTGGATATTGCCTAAAGTTTCTAACATAACAAATAGTCACCTAATTTGAAAGCTCAAGAATTCGAATCGAACGTACTCGATAAGCCAATCGACTTCGATCATAAAATTGAAATGCAGTGATTCCTCTGGCATAACGAAATTCAAAACATCTTTAAGAGAGAAGCAGTTCTCGTTAAAGCATTCAAGTACAGACGAAACCTAAAATTAACAGATTTAAGTCCTAAACTTAAAAATTTACCTTCACAAAGTAAAAATAACCAGTTTTAAGAGCGAATGAAATGCTGCTAATTGACGAGTCCTAAAGGCTACAAAATAAGACATATATAAAACCATCGCATGCTTCATCAGATCGGTTCTTCTTCGTTGTTATCGAATTGTCTTCATCGTCATCGACGAGCTTTCGTTTTGATATTTTGGAACTCGACGGTGACGTATTTCCAGACATAACTACAAAAGTGGAAATTTGGAAACAGTGCACGCATTTCGAAAATCAGGTTCAGCGACCATACAAAAGAATTAGGAATTCAAATAAAACGTTTATGCACGGAAACACAACTCAACAACAAACCTAACAATATAACAATTTATCCAACCATATCTCTTTTACGTCCTCGTAGTCGAATTGCAATTAGTCTTGCCATAACAGCTTCTCCTTGTTTAGCATTTACGGATTTATAACTAAATTTGAAAATTGCTAAATGTCAACACAAAATCTTATTTGTGTTGAAAATCAAGATCTGGGTTTAAACTGTAACTTCTAACACAGGGATCACATTTTTCCAGTTCTAATAGCTTACTATCAAGGATGGAATTTGATACGTGAATTTACCCATTAAGTATGGCATCGACGATGTGTTCACAATTGATATGCGTTGCTTGAATAGCCCGTTCTAGCACATATAGATCGACGCCTTTGTCTTCAGCGATTACCTAAAGAGTCTTTCAAAAGATATTTTATTATTACAACTTTGCCCGAATTTGCGAGTCCGAAATCGATGAGATGTAGGTTGCCTGGATCACCGTTTTTAACAATCATATTTGACGTTGTTAAATCACCGTGGATCTAAAATATCCAACTATAGCTTTTACATCAGTATTTACCAGGCCAGAAAGGTGAATCTTTGCAATTTCGCCACCAAGAACTTCTCCAAACTTTGCTGTTGTCGACTAAAAAGGCTTATGCGTGAAGCGAACACATACCTTGAACCTTGAACTCTTCTTCGGCACGTTGTCGCTGGCTCTCAATCCAATCTTTTGCCGTTGGCCCTTCAACTCGTTCCATAATCAGTATGTGTCTATTTGTGTCGACAAAGTAAATTGCAGGCGTTTTCACGCCTACCTAAATTTGTTTAGTCAAAAGGAAAAAAAATGAATCTTAACCTGCTGGGCTTTATTGATTCCTCTGATTTCTGCGCGTAAACGAGCGAAATTTAGCCGTTTATCAAGCTCTTCATGCCGGTATTTTTTTGAAAATCTAATCAGAGATACTAATATCTATCTAATAAAAATCAATATGGGTGTGTAAAGCCACAAACCTTTCTTTTAGAATAGCTGGTTTCCCCAAATAAACACAATCGTACAATTTGGCCTCAGCTCCTTGTCGCAATGAGTCCGGGTCCAGCAAAGAATTGTACGCAGTATTCATTCTGAAAAATCTCAAAATTTGTCAAAAAAACAACATAAACAAAAAAAGAGAAAACAACGCAAACGCAATCACAAAACATGACAAATTATTAATTCTCCTCATCGCTTTCCGATTCTGATTCCGATGGTGGTAAATCCATTGGCTTGTTTCTTTCCGCTTCATGCTCCCGATCCAGTTTTTCAAGATAACTAAAATAGAATGCTATAGATAGCAACTAAATGTAATCAAATCACCTTTTTTTGTTGTTTTATCACTTCTTGGGGAGAACTGCAAGCAGCGTAAATCTCGAGTAAATCTCTTAACCAGAATGCATTAAGGAATTAGTAAAATGTTTAGTTTACTTGTTCATCTCTAAGAAATGTGGCCCATAATTGAACTTTTCCATCAAAATTTTGGCATCATTTTGGAAACCGCAAATCCACAAACCAGCAGCAAGGGCTTCAGCACAGTTTAGCTTGCATGGACGACCTAAATTGAAAATGCTTTCAGGAAAAGTATGTTTAGCGTACCATAGTTCACTTGATTTGCAGCAACTAAATATGGCAACAAGCGATGTTCAGGAGCTTTTACCTAAAATTGAATGCGTTGAGTATCAGTTTAGTACCTCACTTTGTTCATGGGGGTTTTTTCAACCTCATTCCAACTACAGTCAACAACACCCAGTCCGTTTTGTTCGATGAAAGTGCGATCTGCTGGTGACAATGTCGACACGCCAATAGGTGACAGCATCAAACCCGGAAAGCGAGTGCCAAGACGAATCTAAAAACAAAGCCTGTCGTATAAACCAAAGCTCACAAAATCACCTCATCAATTAAGCCAAATCTGACCAATCTCCTGCCAGAACATCTTTTGGGATCGCATTGATTAAAATCGTACATCCCGAGTTTCACCGTTGTTTGCGTAACCTAAAATAACAAAATATAGAATGCTCTTTCAATATCAAAAATATAAATCAACCTGCGAATCGGCATCAGAACCCCCGCTTAAATCGTCGTCACTTCTTAGCGCTTCCTAAAATAAAAACATTTACAAAACCAAAACATGATTGGCCTCTTTGAAATTAAAGTGTCGAGCGTTAAAATCAAACATTTTTCTTGCTGATTATAAGTATCAAAAAAATAATTGATTACTAAAAGCGAGTCTTACCTCATCGTTAAATTCTTGTGACGGTCCTTCATCGTCGGATGCTCTCTAAATTAGAAGTAGAGCATAGGTTAACAAGATATTACTCTTTGTCGTTCTGCCCGTTTTCCTTGAGTAGCTCCTCCTCCTCTCTTCACGAAGCCCGCCTTTTTGCCACGTCCCATTTATCACCTGAAATCAAAAATTACCAATTTCATACAAATTCTTGAAAAAAATGACAAAGTGAAAAGGGCCAAATGTTTATAAGTAGACATGTCTCACATCTTCAGGTTCGAACCAAACTTTATAAAGAACTACAGAAGACACTGTTAGAAAAGTTTCGCTACTGATACTCACAACAAAGCCCACAAAACAGAAAAGCGCCACAGCTCGCCGCAATTTGCGGCACTTTCTTACAAGATATTTAGCTATTTAATTCAATGAATACTGTTTAATTGATTTACATAGTTAACAAATCTTGATTTGTAGTGAACTTGTCGCAGAATCTCTTCATTTCATTTCTTTATTTCTTTTTGTTTCGTTATACCAGCAGAACAGCGCCTAACGGCGGCCCGCTTCAGAAATTGTAAAAATGATTGCCAGAAACGAATTCCCTGTGTTGGAAAATCCCGCCATGCAAATTTCAGCGTAAAATGAAAATTGCACCCATGGCGCAGTGGATAGCGCGCTCGTCTCACGCCTCACATGACTCGGGTTCGACCCCGGCCAGTGACCACCTACTTTGATTTTTTGCAAAAATTTTTTAAAAGGCACAGACCCGTGTTTCAGAATTTTTTTAAATACTTAAAGGGGACGCGCGCACAGAAAGACAGATATTATTTTTTATATAGAGTAGATTCATATTATTCGTTTGCTGGATTAGTTGGACGTTCTCAACTTGTGAGTTTAGCTTTAATTGCATTTTTTTTACCTACTACTTTTGCCACAAAAATTGTTTAAACTTTGATGAAATCCTTTGCGAAATTAAAAATCGTATCGGTTAGGTGCACGTTGTATAAATGGCCATAGGAGTCAATCGTGGTGGCGCTCAAAAAAAGTAGATGGTTGAAGATAGGCAACACTTCTCATCTCAAAAATTTGTGATAAGGTTTACTGAGAGAAACTCTATCTCGTCACATTATGTGACTCTCATCTCACTTTTGTGAGACGGACAAGAGCCCACTCAAGAAAGCCAGGCCCTTAGGACCTATTTAACATTTAACACTAGAAAATAGTTTATTTCGACGGTGTGGTATTAATTTACAACGTTGGTTCAATACTTTAAAAATGAGATCAAAGTAGAATGTGAACATAGAGGCACGCAAAACACATTCAAAAACTCTTAATATGCAGCGCAAAGGCTTCATAAGCCCAATTAGCAAAGATAAAAATCCCAAAGTTTGACTTGTTTATCGTAGGATCCACTAACGATTCGTTTGTCGTCAAAATCCACACAAGTGACTCCATCAGTATGTGATTGTAATGTGCACATTCGTTCGCTTGTTTCAAGGTTCCATACCTATTTATGATATAAACTTTAACAAAATTCTTTTGAAATAAACTTTGACAGTTCGATCATCTGAGGCGCTCACAATACGCCACGCGTCAACCTAGAATGAATTGCATTACGATCGACTAGAATGCAACCTGCAAACATCGAACGACTCCTGTATGGCCTTCATGAAACCGCCAGTCTATTGTGTTCGAGCAACGACCTGCAGTAAAAAATAAAATTGGGAGATTTTAGACCACCTGAGTCTACCTGTCCGAATATCCCACATCTTGATCATTCGATCCACACTTCCGGAAATGATACGATGAGCATCAAAGCGTACACAGGTTACCTTAAAAGCTATTGCATGGAAAATAAGGAATCATACAGCATCTTCGTGTGAGTTTAGAATTGTCATTGCGCACTGAGCTGTTCGGGCATCCCATACCTGCAAGAGTTTCGATTTTGATTTTCATGATTGACAATGATGGCAACTACTCACTTTGATTGAGTTGTCTGCCGACCCGGAAACTGCGCGAAAAGAGTTCAAAGGATCGTATTGCAGACACAATACAGAATCACTATGCCCACTAAAAGGATTTATTCAGACTTTGCAATATCGCCTACTTAAAACTCCGAATCGTGTCCCCAGTCTCCAATGACCAAAGCCGAAGAGTACAATCATAAGAACCCGAAACCAATGAATCAGAGCACATCTATGCACGTATGTTTGTCCCTTAAAGAAATGACAACGTACTTGCAGGCAACGGACATAATTTGTATGTCCAAGCATCGTCCGTCGACATGCTATGCTTGACCACTGGGGATTTTTATCGAGGTTCCATATCTGCATTTATTGATTAAAAAAACTACCGTGAATACTCTGATAGAAGCCCCCCTCCCGATAGGAGCGTCGCGTAGTCTAAGTTTACTCCCAAACAAACGCTTATATCCCGACACCAATACTTTTGTTTCTGTGCACTTAGGGATAAAATTAAAGTAGAGGATGGGTGATTTTTTGAGATATAACACATATTTTTAGCATTAACCAGCGCTTAGAAAAAATGATTGAAAAGTGGCAAAAACCTGAGTTTTCATCATTTTTCAATCATTTTGTTCTAAGCGCTGGTTAATGCTAAAAATATGTGTTATATTTCAAAAATCACTCATCCTCTCTACTTTAATTTTATCGCTAAGCGCACAGAAACAAAAGGATTGGTGTCGGATATGAACGGTTCTTTAAGTGTAAACTTAGACTACACGACGCTCATATAGGGGGCTTCTATTAGAGTATTTACGGTATACGTAACGTTACCTTGATCGAAAAATCGTTTGAGCCAGATGCGAGTCTATTGCCTTGGAGGTGGAGACACCTTACCTAGAGCTCAAAAATGGTGAAATCTTGAGTGAATTTTTACAGTCGCGGAGTGGCCCGTAAAAGTCATTTGTCCAAGCGGATGACTATCATTATGATCCCAAACACGAATTGTTGAATCACTGCTTCCAGAAACCTGAAGCCAAAGGGGTCAGTAAAACACTGGCAACAAACTATTCGTTGATCATCAAATTGTACACAAGATATCATTTGTGAATGACCAGAAAATGTTCGAACAACACATCTAAAGGAAATCCTTTAGTACTCTTTCATTTCACAACCTTCCAGCATTCCAGTTTCTCCATAATTTGAAGCGTTCAGAAAAAGCATCTTTCCAGCAAACCCCTTCTCCAATTGTATGTCTTTCAAGTTGTTTTTCTTCAGCTTCCTATAAATTTGCATTGATGCACGAAACATTTAGATATGTTTCTCACCTGATTAGTCAAACGATAGAGTTTTGGATGAGTGCATAGAGCTTTCCACAGACTAGTATTTGAAGCCATTCCATTCCATGTTCGGGACACACGTAAACATTTATATAAAGAAGCTAAAAATCAACTTTTTTATGTTTTTTTAATGAAACTACCTGGATCTAGATAAGAGAGAATTGTTTTGTACCAGAGAACACGGCAGTAAAGAGAACGGATCATCGCGACTTTCAGCTTGTCTCAATCGATGGGTTTTTAGTTCAGTGATCCAGTTTGAGACTTCATCAAGTGCTTTGTCGTCCGACAAAATCTGAGAAACGTTTTCGTTCTTCGTTTTTCTAAATGAAAATTACCAGAAGCTGCTGCAATAGCTCGCGCCGCTTTTCTGGGCAAAGTGCACAAAGCATAGCCTAAATAGTTCTTTTTCTTTCTAAACTGTTTGTCTTACAATATCTTTGTCCTTTCGCATTATTTCATCAATATACTCGAATTAGGCACATGGTACTCTGAAGCAAAAACAACATTAACTCTAGCAATAGATAAGCGTTTGCACCTACACAGAGGTTTTGTGTATCAAAACTTCAGAATAAGTCAGATTTTGGTTTGCAGTTTAGAAATGTAAGGCAAAAGTAGCATGCAAAAACTTTGCGAGTTTTGCGAGAAAGGGGCAAGGCTCAAAGGAAAAATCGTATCACTTAATTGCACACTGCAAAGTGTGCACAGTTATAAAGCGTTGCGCCCATTAGAGTTGGGATTTCATTTTTTTAAAGACTTTCAAAGACTTTTATCTTTCTCTGATTATTTCAACGCATCATTTTATTCTTTCAGGAGAAATTCAAATTGATGCTACGCTATGCAAGTCTCCACTGCCAACGACGTGAAGATTTATAATCTCAGCTACGGGAAATCGATACCAGAAGTGAGTGCAATTTCAACTTTATCATTTTTTTTTCTTTGAATTTTAGTGGCTTACTTCAAAGCAACGAAGGGAACTGACGAAAAAGAATTTGGGTAATTCGTGTGATTGTTTCACTGTTTTTTGCTTTGCTTTAGATGTGCGGCGGCGGATACAATTGATTCAAAACTTCGAGATGCCTGACGTTGCAAATTGTATGTCGATAAGCAAGGATGGACGGTTTGAAAACTTTAAGCGCCATTGATCTATTCATTTTAGTCACGTTTTTTGCTGTGGGTTGTTATAAGCCCTTTCTCAAATGCTTTGATGTCGAGCAGATGTCTGAAAAGTTTACTCGAGGAATTGATGAGGAAGTGATAAAAATCCTGAATCTAACAGATGATTTTCAAAAGGTGGGTGGATGGCAGACGAGTTACATTTTATGTGAAACTTTTGTTATTTTCCCAAATCAATGTTTTACTTTAGTTTGTTCTACTCGAACAGCAGCGATGGGTTGAGCTTCATTATTCGCGAGGGAGATATTTTCGACTGCGAATACCAAAGTTTGGACGAGACATGGACTTGATCACAGAACGAAGTGAACTCGTTATATCAACCAGCGGGTAAAAAAACTTTTTATAAACTAAAACTATGAACTGGCAGAGATGAGATATACCGATTGAATCTGGAGCAAGGCGAATTTTTGGAGCCATATCGTTTGTCAGGCTCATCCGGCACTGTGATTCAAGTTGCTCCATGGCACCAATTGATTGCAGCTGGAACTATTGATGGCTAGTTTAACTTTTTTTTTATGGCAATGTTTTTTTAGGTACTGTTGAGTGTTGGGATCATCGTGATAAATCGCGAGTTGGACTTCTTGATGTCGCGTCTAGTATTTCGGATTATACCAAGTGACGTTTAGGTTGTTTTTGGGATAAATCTTGTTTTAGTGGAATTGCCGCTGTAACGGCGCTAAAATTCTGCGATCCTCTACATTTTGGCGTAGGCACTTCAAGTGGACATGTAAGTTTTGCCGCGCATTAACATTGAAATTTTTATTTAGGTAGTTCTCTATGATATTCGTGCATCAAAACCGCTGCTCGTGAAAGATATGCAAAATGATCTACCGATAAGGTTAATTCTTTTATGCAACTTTAGTTAAATGTTTTATTTAGGCGAATTGAATTTGTGCGCAAGGAAGACGATAATATTGTACTGTCAATGGATAACCGTGCTATCAAAATTTGGAACGAGCGAAATGGGCGACCGATTACTGCAATTGAGCCGGAACCCTCTTTGAATGATTTTGTGCTTTATCCGAACTCGGGTCTGCTTTAGCTCTAAAGGATTTTTATAGCTGATTTTAGGAATGCTATTTATTGCCGCAGAGGCTCCTCGGATGCTTCAATACTTTTGCCCTATTCTTGGCCCAGCTCCAAAATGGTTGGTTTAGCATGCATTTTGAAAATTTTGAAAATCTAGGTGCTCATTTTTGGAAGCGATCACCGAAGAATTAGAAGAAAGTGACAAGCCAGCCGGTAGTTTTAAAAGTATAACCTTAACGGGCGGGCTTTTAGTTTATGATGACTACAAATTCGTTACCGAAGCTCAACTGGATGATCTTGGTTTGAAACATTTGATTGGTACTCAATTGTTGAGGTAAGTACTGGTTTTCTTATTTTTAAGGTGAAGCTTTAGAGCCTACATGCACGGATTTTTCATTGACATTCGGTTATACAACAAGGCCAAGCTGAAGACACAACCATTTGCATATGAGAACTACAAGAAGAGAAAGGTATGAGTATTATTTTTATTTGAAAGTTTAAGAATTTAGATCCGGGAAGCGATGGAAGATGAACGGGAAGAGGCAGCGATTGGTGTTAAATTGAAGAAAGAATCGGAAGTTAAAGTGAATCGAGAGCTTGCTAAAAAGTAAATTTGTAATTTTTTTCGAATGATCAAAGCTGTTTAGACTTGAACTTGACGCCTCAATCGCAAACAAAAAGAAGAAGTTCGCAAAAGAAAAGGTGGCTTGATTTATCATTCTCATTTCATTGTTTCAGGCAAATGCGGCAGCTTCTTTGCTACAAGATCCTCGGTTCGCTAAACTTTTCGAAGATGAGGAGTTCGAGGTGAGATTTTGCTGAGTTTTAGTTGGTAATTGTTTTTCTTTAGGTGGATGAAACCAGTGAAATTTTCACAAGCCTGCAATCCAGACTGGAGAAGTCGCAGAAAAAGAAGAAAAGACCCGATGAAGATGATGATGATGATGAGAATGATGGCGATGATGATAGAAATTCGGAGAGCGATGAAGGGGTTGTTTACTGTTGTCTCAGCCCTCAACCTTAAAAATTTAGCATCCACAAACGGAATTTTTCGATCAACTTGAGGGAGGAAGAAAAAGTTCGAAATAATGGCGATGTTTCAAGTGACGAACATAATATGGAAACGGATAGTGACGAAGGCGATCTCGAAAATAGCAATGAAGCAGAAATGAAACGCATTGAGAAGAAAAAAGAGAGGACGAAACGAAAGAATGAGCTGCAGGTTTGGAAGGAAATTTAGTAGTAGAAAAAGTTTGAATTTTAGACACAAAGATTGGAACGCATAGCTGCTGAACAAGAAACTAAAGAAAAGTCTCGTCCTACCAAGTTTAAACTGTATGAACTTGAGAGTGGTGAAGGCACAAAACGATTCACTGAAGCTGATACTGCTGGAAATTTCACAGGTTATTTAGTTGTATAATGTTTTGATTATTATTTTTATCTAGACGGCACCACTTGCTACACGACGCTCTAAATTGGAAAAAGCAGGACGAATGTTGAAGGTGGAGGAGACGCCATTTGGAGGAAAGAGTGTCACTTTCACGTATGTTATAACATAACGACGCTCCCAATTAATTGGTGTTTTAGTATGAGTGATGACAAACAAGAGAAAGTGAGTGAACGTCAACAACAGAAAATAGCAGAACATCAACTGGAGCGGAAAGAGGTTAGATATTCATTTTGGCTCATTTCTCATTCGAAATTTTTAGGTACGAAGGGCTGCATCAAAACTCTCGCGTTCTCTCGACCGAAAGCGAGCACAACGGGGGACGAAGACATTAAAAGTTCCGTTTGTTGTTATTTTGTTATTGTTACATTTGTTGAATTTGTTGTTACAGCTTGTTAAAATTTTAGTGCTCTATAAATTTTCCCTTTTATCTTTTTTTAAATGATGTAATGCGTTTACATTTACACAAACATGCTACCAAGTTACACATTGTTGTAGGTTTGTTGACAGGATTATTTGCGGCGACTTTTATTCATTCTCTTCATTCACTGAACTCTCGTATTTTTGCACATTCGATTTTCGCGGCGTTTATCTAAAAAGTCCAATATTTCGCACTTTTTTTGCGCTTCTCTGTTGTTGCGTAGATCTGGACGGCTTTCGTCCCTCCTATTCTCTGCACACTCCTCTCCGGCCAAAATGAGGGTTGAGGGACGGCCTTCGTCTTTTTCACTTTTTTCTCTTTCTCGGCTATCTGCCGGTGCTCTATGTCGATGTGGCGATATTTTCCCCCCTCAAAATGCGCCCCTCACTACTCCCTCACAGCCAAGTGGTTGGTGTGTCTCCATCCGACCTTCAGTGGTTGGCCTTTCCTTCCCCTCGTGTGGGACCTCGTGCCCCTATTTTATTCACGCTAAAAGCTTTCCCTAATTTAGAGTTTTCTCTATTGACAGCCGGCCGCCTGCATTTTTGTGAAAAATCCATTCTTGAATACTCGTTCAAATCCAGACATGAAGTCGTTTAGAAAATTCAAAAGTCTAGGAATGCGTCTGTCAAGTTAATTTCCATACAAGAACCCATTCATGAAACGAATTCCCAAATGGCCGCTTTTAGAGAGCAAAAATCGCTTGACGAATTCATTTAATTAGGCCGAGAAGAAAGGGGCACGAGGGGGGTCTCCTTCATTTCCATTTCCATTTCTTTAGGAGTTCAATCATTGATGGAATGCAGACAAATGAAATTATTGAAAATCAATCGAAATAGTAACGAAAGCAGAATATTCAAGTCAATTTTTCCTCTGTTTGAATTCTTGTGTATTAAAATCTAGGTAAATCTTATCTCGTCTTACTTTTTACTTACCTAAATGTTTTTATTTGTCAGTTTCTTCCTAGCTCCATGTGACTCAGGGTGATAGGGCGTTTTTTTTTGAAAGGAAGAAAGACAGAAAAGGGAGGAACAGGAATGGCAAGCTGTGCATGTGTTTCGTATAGCGTTTTTCTTCTTCTCAACCTCTCTTCTCACATCATGGCCCTCTCTCTTTCCTTTTTGTCTGTCTCCAATGTATGTATGTATGGGAAAACCCATTTTCCCTCCCTCGACAACTGTGAAATATCATAAATCGACAACTTTTTTGCTTTTTGAACATTGACTTTGAGTTCTCACACTTTTTCGGTCGACTTTTATTTTTAGAATCGATGTTGTTGCGAGTGCCAAATGGAGGACTTCGGCTGATCAGCGTGCTTTCAACGAGGAGTGCTGCATCACAGGTTAGTCAATTTGGTGCGATAGTTGTTGAGGTATGCATATTGAAGTTAATTTTGTTACTTTATAAGCTTAAAAAATTTGCTTTCTAGGCATCCTCATCTACAACACCGCCATTAACGAATACTCCGTTGAATGATGAGAAGGCGAAAGAAATCGAACAATGTTTTTCACGGCTTGATCTCACATTCCGAAATACCAAGGAGGCTTTTAAGGTTAGGTCATCTTTTCACATTCAACTTTTCATTATATTCGAGTCTCTTCATGAGAAAACCTGGGTCCTATTGCCTTAAAAAGGAAACGGCTCTATTTGCATTTCGCTCATTCAACTTTCGCTTTCTCGGGGCCATTGAATTTAAAATTAAAAGATGGCAGCGAAAATTTTTTTGTCAAATGATTTTTAATGTTTTAAATTTAGTCAAAATCGAACGGTGAACTGCTGAGGGCGATTGCCGTACTCCAAATTTGTGAATATGAATTCCTCGTGCAAAACAATATGCGGATACTCAACACACTTCGGGCCACCCTCGGGAAGAATCTTTTCAAAAAAGTTAGTGCTATTGTTTTTAGGAAGAGTTCAACTTATTCTAAGTCGAAATTGTGCTAGACTGTTTGTAAATAACATAGTTCCGTTAAAACAATAAATAATCTGTCATCTCTTTTCTATGAATCAATTTTAGCTACTCAAAAAGACGTTTTATGGACACTTTGTTGCCGGCGAGGATGAGAATGAGGTAGTTCTTTTTCCGAAAGCTTTCAGAGATCTTTCAAAAATCAATATCCGCGGCCATTTCTTTTCACTTTTTTGAGGGTCTTCAAGTGCTTTGCAAACAATAGAAAAACTCTGTGACGTGAAACAAAAATGGGTTATATGAATAGTGTCTTTAATGAGCTGGCAATAAAAAGAGCTTGAAATTTCCTCGTTTTTTGCTCTAGATTGTAATCGCGAAAGTTTGCCTAATAATGACGTGATTCACTCAAAGGGATGGCTGTAAAATTTGGTGAAAGAGTTGCTTAACTTTTCAACTGTTTACAATCGAAAATTTAAGGAACTTTTTAATTGTAAACATTCCAGAAAAGTTTCCCAAACGGTAAAATGTTTACTATGGCATTTTTATGAAGTTAGAAAATCAAAAGCAAGTTAAAAGCGTTTTTCATAACAACAACAAGTGCAAAAAGATGTGGATACATAAGAAAAAGTTGTAATATGTTCTCTATGTTTAGGTGATGCCAACTGTGGAGCGGCTGAAGCAATTCGGAGTAAAATCGATTCTCGATTATTCGGTCGAAGCCGATTTGACCCCGAAGCAAGCACAAGAGAAGACGGAGAAGGGGATGTCAAAAGCAACACAAGTAACTTCTGAGGTACGTTAATTCGAATAACTTCTATCGAGTTATTACCTTGATTTGAGGTTGTAAGCATCTAATAGCTTTATACAGAACTACTTTCAGGCAATTACCTCATCAGGACTCGTCGACAAAAATACCGCCGAGAAGACTCGAGAACGCTACTCTGCTCATCACGAATTCGCTGATCGTCGAAAGGACCAATTCTCAGCAAGGTTTTTCTTCTAATTCCTTTTATTTAAAGTTTCACAAAAAGTTTTTAGGCTTTAATAAAACTTGAAGTAAATTTTCAAATGTTGAATTTTGCAGTCCTTGGCTCGTGAACAAACACTTCAGTCCGATTGGCTTGTATTCATTTTCTAACGCTAGCTAGTTGCATAGAATGGAGATTTTGTAGGCTAAAAGAAAATAGAAAGCTAGGAAAAGCAAAAATCGTTTTTAATTGGCTCATTTAGGACATACTTCTACGAAGGAGAAGAAGAATGCGATCGTAATCGGGATATTTTCTGTCAGGTAAGCTACTTCGGAACGAAAAATAAAAACATAGGTACTTTGGTGAATTCAATGCAAAATTTACACGTTTTATAATTTTACCCCACATGATAGACTTGCCAACCCTCTTGCTTTCAGACTGTCGATGCTGTGGCCAAGGCGACCGGTGGTGAAGGATTTGCGGCTATAAAAGTATATATTAGATCGAAATTTTTAGTCACTTCTTTTTTAGATTACGGCTCTTGGACGTCCAGGACTGCTACTGAAACTCTCTGAATCGATTGCTCAAACAAAGAATTTCTTCAACGCCCTCACGAGTGACACGAATAGCCGAACTGAGAAAAGACGACTTACCGAATCGGATTTCATCCAGAAGTTAAAGGTCTGATTTTGAAATTTAGAGTATTAGTATTATGTTCGAATGCAAATAAGTTTTAGGAATTTGGCGTTCGCACCGATTCCGAGGAGGCCTCCGATTGGTTCAAGTCTGTTGATTTCGATTCAGGTTGGTATTTTGGTTTTCTTTTTTATCATTAAGTTTAGATGGCTCACTGGATTTCCATGGTTGGCAACATTTACTGGAAGAAAACAAAAAGTTAGGCGATATGTTCAAGGTTTGTATTATTTTGTAATCATTACTGAGTTTTTTAATAGGTTTTAAACATCAAAACCGGGAAGCTTGAGCCGCTGATTCAAAACTTGACTAGTGATGAAGAGAAAGAGGTACGGTATATCTGATTGATAGTGAATTTAATGAAAAAAATATTCAGTTCACCAACATGGTTCGTCGAACACTCGATGTTGCAGAACATGCTATTTCAAGAGGAGTCAGGTAGAGGTTTTTTGATTTTACATCATAAACAATCATTGCCTTTTTAGAGTAATGGTTGACGCTGAGCAAACGTATTTCCAGCCGGCTATCAGCAGAATGGCAATTCAAATGATGAGAAAGTACCACTTTAAAGATGGAATGGTAGATAATTTTCTTTTAGATACAATAAAGAACGAGGAAATATCTTTAACACGTATCAAGCCTATCTAAAGAGTGCTCTCGATTGTATGGAGTGTGATATGCAATTGGCGAGAAGAGAGGGATGGCATTTTGGAGCGAAATTGGTAGGAGTTTCTAAAGATTTTTAACGCCTACCGTTAGACTAATTATTATATTACAGTAGTTTTTTTTCAGGATAAGAATTGATCTAAATCTTTTTTTTTCAGGTACGTGGTGCTTACATGGAACAAGAGCGTAAACGGGCCACCACAATCGGGTACGAGGACCCGATCAACCCAGACTTTGAGGTAATTTCTAGAGTCTTTTGGTGAACAACACGTCTACGAACGGTTATTTATCGTATGTTGTAGGCCACCTCCAAGATGTACGAAAAATGTTTAACCAGGATAGCTGATGAGTGTGATCGCCGAGGCCGGGGAAATGTTTCTGTGATGGCCGCTTCGCACAATGAAAACACTGTGGGTTTGGTATTAATTTTTATTGTAGAGGTTTAATAGCTGAAAAACAAACACTGCTGCATTTCTTACACAAACTTGCAGGTTCGCTTTGCGGTTAATTTAATGCGTGAACGCTGCTACGCTCCAAGTGAGAAGATTCTTTGCTTTGCTCAACTTTACGGCATGTGTGATCAGGTATTGGACATCTAAAAATTGGTTTCGAACACTTTATATTCAGGTTTCTTTCCCTCTCGGTCAAGCCGGCTACTCAGTGTACAAATATCTCCCATATGGACCCGTTGAAGACGTGTTGCCTTATCTTTCACGAAGAGCCCTAGAAAATGGATCATTGCTCAAGAAGGCAAATCAGGTTGGGCGTTTTGATGGACATTAAAGGCATATTTAACAATCGCCAACCTTGAGTTATTACGGACATCTAAAAGAAATTTTACTTAATCTTACATTTCTTTTAGGAACGCGGCCTCTTGATAAAAGAATTCCGCCGACGTATTGGTGCTGGACAATTGGTTTACAAAGTGCCGATTCCCGAGAAATAGACAAAATCCATATCGGAGATGCTTGTTTAGTTGTGCACTCAGTTTTTGAGAGAAACGATGATCTTTTTTTTTTATAGGGAAAATCTGAACTTATGATTGTGAACTTTCTTTTCTTTTTACGTTTGTTTATTTGCATGCCACGACGATACTAGCCATTTTATTTCTCTTACTTATCATTTTCTATTTACAGACTCTATTTTTTCTGAAATAATGTCCCCTTTTTAACGACTAGGCTCTCCTTTAAGGCGGGTAACTAAGAAGAAAACTCGGTGTTAGTTTGATTTTAACATATGTTAGTGTTTTTGAAGTTTCGATAAATCTTTGGCAGACTTTATTTACATAGAGATTTGTTATTCAAAATCATTCCAATTTTTTTGTCTTTTGATTTCTGGGTCGAAGGTATGCCTGAATTTGGTGAAATTGCGAAGCTTTGGCGGAATTGTTACCTTGTAGAAGAATTGAGCAAAGAGGACTCCAAAAGTGACGTAAATGACGAAGGCGAGGTAGAGATTTCCCATTGATTGTTGGCATCTGAAATTGGCTGAATGTAAAAGAAAAAAGTAATTCAAAATCGGAATATTTTTGCCCAGCTCTACCTCCAATCGGTGTTCGTCTTTATCCAGTAAACACAAGCCGATAAAAGCACTCCAAGCAACATTTGAGTCGTCTAAAATTTGAAGGCTTTATCTCCAAATGCCGTTTTTTATCACCTGTACAGTTGTCACCACCATCGCCACCCATCTGGGGATTTGGAGCTGAAAATTTTGAATTCATGTATTTACTGGTATTTGAGCTTACCTTGGTAGTTTTTGTCGCATAATATGTGTACATGAGAGCGTGCGCAAAGAGATTCATCATGATGAATGAACGACCGACACCGATATGTTCGGCACCTAGAGGGATTTGATTGATGAATCGAATAGATGCTCAGATATGGAAAAGGTGTTATAAAAAGAAACTGGGGAAGGCAGGTCAGAACTGAACCTCACTTCTAATTAGGCTCCTCGCACAATGAAAATACGGTAAGCTTAGTGCTAAATGACCTGCAGGAAGTAGGGGTTACGGTAACTTTTCTTTAAGTGTACCCTTTAGAAAATTTGAATTACTGTTTATTTTGATACCTGAGTGAACAGTATAGATGAGAACTGCAGCATGATGATAGTAATGAAGAAAGATGAGGGGTTTCTTCCTCAAAACAATGAAAAGTGTATCACCAAGCTCTATGATCTAGAAATTTACATTAGTTTGGAGAATAGTTTTTGACGAAACTTTTACAAAAGCCTTCCTACCTTACTAATGGCGAAAGTGAGATTCCAGAAAGCGGCCGCATCATTTGGATGACATGTACGACAGATGGCATCGTAGAAGGAAATCGAATAAGAATGACCGACATCCTGAACAAGTGGATGAATGGAATAAACTGGTAGTAAGTGAAGGAAGTTCAAAAGAGTGACAAGAAATCTTCTTTACCTCAGCAAGGCGTGCAAAAGCGATCGTCGAATAGATTGCATGAAAGGAATTCCAATAGAAAAGTGGGATTTCAAGGGTAAATGCCTGGCGATCTCTCATCAATCGTTGAATACTCTGCAGAAATATGGATTCTTAAATTCTTTTTTTTTTGCTCAGTTTAATCGAAATTTTAGCAAAAAGGTGTCCTCAAGAAGTTACACCGTAATCTCAGCTTTATTTTATGCAACTATTACCCATTGAGAACTCACCCTGATAAGAATGTAATAAACAACGGAGATTGTGATCGAGTGATGCCAATTATTCTGTAAAAAAGAATTGCTTAATGAAATTTCTGAATGAAATACCTGAAACCAAAGAGTCATCTCCATTGGATAGGCGAGTGTTTCAAAGGAAAGGGAATTTCTGGAGATCATTTTGGATTGAATTTGATTTGATTTTGAATTTTTCGCCCTTACTCATATCGATATCCCGAATGGAAAGTCTCATTTTGGCGACGATAAAGGGTAAAATCGTTGAGTTGATGAATTAGATCCATAATTTGAAATCTTGAATAAAATATAATAAATTAAGCGATAAGATAAGATACGATCAAATAAATAGTTCAGAAATCGATTAAAAAGGTATAGTCAACAAGAAATCAATCTACTAGCTACTAGCTTTTGAGCTAAGAGTACTAGCTTTTGAGTTGAACTTTAAAAAGCTAATCTATAGCTTTTTGTTCTAATAATTCTTATAGAAAGCTTTCGGGTACAGTAATCCTTTCAAAATGATATCTAAGTGATTGATAAGATTATGTCTCTAAAGTACAAGAACTTTTTGAACCGTCTGTCGACGTGCTGTTCACTAAAAGATCCAAATTAAAGGGAAGGTGATGGTAGATTGGAAACCGCAATATAAGAAAAGAAAGGAAAGAACTGTCCCGGATCGAAATTTGCGTTTCCTTTCATTTTTGGGAGAAAGAAGGCGATTGAGGGTTTGAGAGCTGAGAAAAGAGGCGATGCCATCCACAGAACTTGTCCTTTTTCCCCCTCCCTGTACATTCCTCTACATAAATCCCCTGGCTCTGTTATTCTTTCTTTTTACGGTTCTCACCCCGATTTTTTCAGTCTTCATGGTGGTGATTGCCATTTTAGCGTCGATGGAAAGTGAACTTGTTTCTTGAGAGCTTGATTAGAGAGGTTTCAAAGAGTTTTTTTTCCTCTCGAGAATCTAAAGAGCTTTCTTGAGCTTTCTTGAGCTTTCTTGAGCTCTCTGGAGCTCTCTGGAGCTCTCTTCAGCTCACTTTATGTTCAAGGACTTAATAAGATGGGTTTAAAGGAAAGTGAGGCTTGTTTTCGAACTTGCTGGGTTGTCTTGACAAATGCGGAACTATAACAAACCTTTGGATTCTCTGTAAGTGAATGCTCTGTAACTGAATGCTCACTTGTCTCCCTTTCCTTTCTCTGACAAATCCTTGAAACCGGTCGATCAGCTAGAAATGTGTAAGGGATCGTTGAGATGAGACTCTTCACAACAGCTTGTTCATTTAATTCATCCTTGTTCTTTTGCTTGATGTCAAACTTCTCAACTAAAGAGCAATCAAGTTCAATTGAAGATGGAACACCGTTTGGATCTCTACAGAAGGATCTCTACAGAAGGATCTCTACAGAAGGATCTCTACAGAAGGATCTCTACAGAAGGATCTCTACAGAAGGATCTCTACAGAAGGATCTCTACAGAAGGATCTCTACAGAAGGATCTCTACAGAAGGATCTCTACAGAAGGATCTCTACAGAAGGATCTCTACAGAAGGATCTCTACAGAAGGATCTCTACAGAAGGATCTCTACAGAAGACTTTCGTCTTTTACTTTCATTTGAAAAAGTAATAACTTTCAGAAACGTCGACCAATCAATTGAAGATCGCCGATCAATCATCAATTGAAGCTGAGCGAACTTGGCGGTAAAATGGAGTCATTCAAGGCTTTTACTAAATATCACGAATGTATAGATGAATCAAATTTGGATCTGTGCTGTTGATGGATCAAATTGGTTTTCTTATATCTTTCACAATAGTTCAACTCTGAAGCAAAATTCTGTACGTGAAGGAGATCGTTTTCTTGCGATTTTCTTCATCCTCCTTTCCCTTTCCACACCTCACCTCATCCCTTCGTTTTCTCAAAACAATTTGGCCAGAAAAGAAAGATTTCCAGGGAATCGAACTCTCGACCTTGTGCTGAAGCAGATGCTCCACCAGTAAGCCACAGGCACTTATTTTACTGGCTAGAAAGAAGGCAGTAGAAGAAAGAAAGCAACTTTTGTGGTGATTTGGATAATCTGCACCTTTTGTTCTAATCCCAAGTTTTTTATTTTTAAATGATCTTTGAATCCGATTGTTTCACAGTCGAATCAGTATGTCAAAGAGAGAAAAAGGAAAGCTTGAAAAGGGTAATTGAAAGAGGAAAAGGGGAAAGAAAAGAGAGAGTAAACTGGTCCACTTTTTGCGCGTTTTTCTCCACTCATGATTGTCGTTTTTGTTCTGTGTATACTATAAAAAGATTGTATAGAGTCTAATAGCTAAATAGCACTCAAGTGGCAAGAATAAAGAGTAAATTCTTGTGACAAGAAGGGAGCAAGCCATTCAATTCCATCCGAAATCCACAAAAGTAATGAATCTATGGAAAATTTCATTCAAAATTAGTTCACAAACTAGACTTAATTCTAGACTTAATTCTGGACTTAATTCTGGACTTAGAAAGCTCTGCTTGTTTATTTGCTTGTCCTTAACAAGAAATTTTCCATCTGAGCTTCAAGTTTTAGATTTCTTCGCTGCCCCTCGGTTACAATTATCCCGATCTGGTGAAAGCTGCCGCGAGTCCAAAGTTCTTGGTTTGTTATTGTGTTTGAAAAGCTCTAGCTTCTTTAATACTGAGAGATTCTAGACTTCTAATTCTGGACTTGATTCTGGACTTAGTGCTAGACTTCATTCTAGACTTCATTCTAGATTTAATGCTAGACTTAATTCTAGACTTAATTCTGGACTTCTCTTGTCTCTCGACCTGCTTTGGGATCATTCCCGAGAACTGATTTTTCTGAAGGTCTTCAAGAGGCGTTAACCGATGTGACACCAAAGGGACTAAAGGTCAATTTAGACTATTAATATCCACAACAAATATCCAAAACAAATCTCGAACTATGTGAATCTGAAAACCATAGCTATAAGCATTCAAAGCAATTTTTGCTCAAACCTTTATCAGTAATCGAAAAGTTTATGAGGATTTTTTTGAAAATTGGGCTCTTTTTGAGTATCCCAGTTTATTGCAGAATGGCTTTTTGTTATCTTGTTTTCTTGAAATTGGCCTCATAAACAGACTCAAAGGATTATCTTAAAAAATTCAAGGAAAAATTGCTCGTAAAAGAAAGGGTAAGCGCTTATCAGAGAATGTGTTTATAAACTCAAAAAAGGGTTAGATCAGTTCATTCTTTTTTTTTCATTTCCTCTTGTTTATCCATTCTTGAAGATGTTGAGTCGATTGAGCCCGAAAAACTATGCTGTAGTTGGTGAGTGATTTGGAGAAGTTGAACGTGAGAATGGAACAGTTGTAGGTCAAAAGTTAGTAGCACTGTCAATCTTGATAAGTCTGGAAAGCTTACTAGCTATGTTTGTTGTTTAGCTGTTTAGAACTGTATCAATAACAGACAGGACCCTAAATACTTCAGTAAATTTGTTTAAGTTAACAAAAAGACTTAAAACAACAGTTATTCGTTTTTTAGGATGCCGTTTTGGCAGTACAATTGCTTCGTCGGAACCTACGGGCCCAGAAATGCATACGGCGGTGCCTGGACCGAAATCGAAAGCATTGACTGATCGAATGTCTCCACTTCATGTAGGTTTACAGAAATGAAACCATTAGAACCAAAACCATTGTTGTAAAAAGAAAAGAGCTTAAAGCTAGCCAACTTAGCCAAAAGCCAACAGCTCCAACAGCAGCCAACAACGCCAACAGCCAAAAGCCAACAGCTCTCCTTTTTCAGAACACTGCCTCAATCCGTTGCTTTGTTGATTTCGAGAAGAGTTTCGGTAATTATATGGTTGACGCGGATGGGAACAAAATGTTGGATATCTATACTCAGTTAAGTTGATGTGTAGGGGTAATTGTAGGGGTAATTGTAGGGGTGATTGTAGGAGTAATGGTAACAGAAAGTTAGTCTTTATTCATTTTAGAAATAAAGACTTCTTTTTAGCTTCTTTATTTGTTTGTCCTTAACAAGAAATTTTCCATCTGAGCTTCAAGTTTTAGATTTCTTCGCTGCCCCTCGGTTACAATCATCCCGATCTGGTGAAAGCTGCCGCGAGTCCAAAGTTCTTGGTTTGTTATTGTGTTTGAAAAGCTCTAGCTTCTTCACTACTGAGAGATTCTAGAGTTCTAATTCTGGACTTAATTCTGGACTTAATTCTAGACTTAATTCTAGACTTCATTCTAGACTTAACTCTGGACTTAATTCTAGACTTCATTCTAGACTTAATTCTGGACTTAATTCTAGACATAATGCTAGACTTGATGCTAGACTTAATTCTAGACTTAATTCTAGACTTAATTCTGGACTTAGTGCTAGACTTCATTCTAGACTTAATTCTAGACTTAATTCTAGACTTAATGCTAGACTTAATTCTAGACTTCTCTTGTCTCTCGACCTGCTTTGGGATCATTCCCGAGAACCGATTTTTCTGAAGGTCTTCAAGAGGCTTTAACCGATGTGGCACCAAAGGGACTAAAGGTCAGACTAATATCCAAAACAATCCAAACAATCCAACTCTGTGGATCTCAAAACAATAGCTACAAGCAGAAGATGCTAGTGCTAGATCAAGAAAAGCTTGCAACGTCGAACTCATTGCAAACAATTCAATTCAGCAAGTGCAAACGATGCTTTGCGGGACATCGGCAAATGAGAATGCCATCAAGCAGGCTTTCATTTGGCATATGAGACAAAAAAGAGGAGATAAGCCGCCAGATCAATTGGCGCTTGACTCTTGCATGAAACAACAGCAGCCAGGTAAGAAATTGATGAGAGCTAAGGTTTACAATACTCTAGGCACTCCACATCTCTCCGTTCTCGGCTTTGACGGTGCTTTCCACGGGCGTTCTCTTTGCAATCTCTCCGTCACTCGAAGCAAGGCGATTCCAAAGGTGAATTCGGTTCTCTAGCTAATTTTGTACAGTAAATTCGTTACTGTATATATTATTAGACAAAATTTATTGTATAATTCAGGTGGACATCCCAGCATTCGATTGGCCGATCGCGAAATTCCCACGCTACAAATATCCATTAGAGAAGTACAAGGTAAAACTGGATTTTAAGGATATCTAGGCTTTAAATGAAAACTAAATAAAGGAAAATTTCAGTCGTACAACGATCAACAGGACAAAGATTGTTTGGCTGATGTTGAGGCGAAAATTCTCGAATGGAATGCTAAAGTGTGGCTATTATGAATACAAAAATAAATGAATAGATAAAAGAGATTTAGTTTAAGAGAATTAAAAGATCGTTATAGTTTTCTATCCATTGCACCATTAAACTTTCAGAAGCACGATGTAGCAGCGTTGATTGTTGAGCCGATTCAAGCTGAAGGAGGAGACTTCTATGGAAGTCCGGCTTTCTTTCAAGTAGCAAAAAGAATTTTCTTTTTATAAAAGAATTTAGGGACTTCGTGATATCACAAAGAAGCATAATATTGTGTTCATTGTTGATGAAGTGAGTGGATTGTTGAAAGATGGGCTTGGTTTGGTTTAGATTTAGTCTTACTAGATAGCTGGAGTCTAAGGTTACTAGATAGCTGGAGTCTAAGATTACTAGATAACTGGAGTCTAAGATTATTAGATAGCTGGAGTCTAAGATTACTAGATAGCTGGAGTCTAAGATTACTAGATAGCTGGAGTCTAAGATCCAGTTCCAAGCACAAGATCAGGACAAAGAATAAAGAAGAAGTATTAGCTATTGTTAAAGTGTTCAACTGAGATGTTTGTTCAACAATGTTTAGGTTCAAACTGGTGGTGGAGCGACGGGAACAGGTGATATGTGGGCTCATTCTCATTGGAATCTCTCAACCCCTCCTGATATGGTAACATTCTCAAAGAAAATGCTCACTGGTGGATATTTCTATGCTGATCATTTGAGAATCAATGAGGTAAACAAAGAAAAAGACTTTATAAACAATTCTGTTTAGAGTTATCGAATCTACAACACATGGGTATGTTCTTTTGAAATATTATGATAACATTATCTCTTAAATGATATAGATTATGAGATCAGTATATCAGATTGTATATCATTAGGTGGGTGATCCGACGAAACTCTTCCTTCTTCAAGAAGTTGTCAAAGTGATTAAGAGAGATGGACTCTTGCAGAAGAATATTGAAGTTGGGAAAGAATTCCAGAAACAACTCCATCAATTGCAGGTCTAGTGAAGAGTTTGTGAGTGTCTAGAATTGTATTTATGTTTAGAATTCTCATCCAAACAAGCTGTCAAATGCACGTGGCTTGGCCACCTTTGCCGCCATTGATTTCGCCACCGCCGAGATGAGAGACAAATTGTTGACGGATGTGAGTTGAAAATCCAATAAGACTAAGGTTTATTGTATTTTACTGTATGTAGGTTTATTAGGCTTGTTATGGACTGGTCTTGCTTGGAACTGGAGCTTAGACTTCAGTTATCTAGTAAGACTAAGTTGTATGTTAGCTTACTTGGATGTAGGCTTGTTGTATGTTATTACTAAACAAATCGTAGCTCAATTGGTGCATTGGTTTTAAACGAAAGTACGAAAATGAATGAAAAGAAAGCCTAATATTAGTTAAATATTTTAAAGAAATTAAAGAAATGAAAGAAATCTTTAAATCTTCTCATTCTAGGCGACTAACAACGGTCTTCATTGTGGAGGTTGTGGCCCGCAATCGCTTCGTTTCCGTCCATCGCTCGTTTATGAGAAGAAACATATCGATTTAACATTCGAGATTCTTGATAAAACAATCAAGAATCTCTAGATTTATGTGAAAATTGATAAAGATTTTTTGGATAATTCACCAAAATGAACACCATAGTTACAAGAATTAAGAGAAAAACTCCTTCTCTAAAGCTTTTAACACTTTTTGTTTTGTTCGTTTGTTCACTTTGTTCATCAAAAAAATTCTTCATAGGCATTGGCATTGTTTATTTGACGAGAAAAACAGTTTACTTTCCAAAAGAGTCAGTTTGATCGCTTTCATTTCCAGCTTTTACTCTTCCTCAACTCAACTTTTGTAGTTCTGATTGTATTTTATAAAATTTCAAATTTCATCTAGGAAAATGAAGCTCTTTTACACGATTTCCCTTCTTTTCATTGATGCTTTGGCTCGTCCAGTTCCAGAAAAAAGAGATGAAGAAGTGCTGAGTATAGTGCCAGTTCTCGAGATGATCTTCCCAGAAAGTGCTGGTAGGATAGCTTTTATGATTGTTAGATTGATAAAGACGCTTACGATCAAGCCTCAGACGCTTACAGTCAAGCCTCAGACGCTTACGGTCAAGCCTCAGAAGCTTACAGTCAAGCCTCAGACGCTTACGGTCATAAACTCAATGTTTTCAGAGGCCCCACTTCTCGAGACAATTATGGCAATAGATGGTGCAGAGACGATGGATTTTGATGCTTTGCTTCTAAAAGAGAAAAAGACAAAAGATTTGGAGAAAGTTTGTCACTGAAAGGAGAATCAAATTTTTCAAATTTTAGAATATTCTAGGTTTTCCGTGAGCTAAAGATAAAGAACCCAAATCTCCACAAGAAACTCGAGCCTCATTTTCTGAAATTGAAAGCCAATTTTGATTCGCTTAAAGGAGAAAGGAAAGAATGGATGACAAAGGTAGATTGTACCGTTTCTAAACTACAATCAGTTTAACGATTTCAGTACTTGACGTATATTTGGGACAACCTTTGTGCTGCTGCAGTGAGCGGGAAGAAAGAAATCATTCTGCGGAAAGAGGTTTAAAATCGAAATCGAAAAATCGATTACATATCGCTAAATTTTAGGGTGATCTCTTGAAGACAAAATACGATGGATTATCAATTGAAGCAAAGAAATCGTTGACAGAGAAATTCCCGATGCTCACTTATTTCATTGAACACGAAGCTTACAAATTAGAGGAATGAAAAGAATGACTGCAATAAATTGTTCTCAAGCAACTCAAGCACTAAAGTAAACTATGTGTACCTTTGATGTTGTTTTTAGGAAAAACAGCGTCTGGCACACGTCTGACTGTGCCAGAAAAGCCAGAAAAAACCGGTTTCATTACCCAAGTTTGCTAGAAAGTGCGTGAATGGAAAAAGAACATTAGCCTAAAACGGTAGCTATGCTAAATTACCGTAAATGCTGTATTAGAAGGAGATGTCGTTCTATTTTTCAATACCCCCCTCCGGGTATCGTTCTATTAGAGAGTGTCATTCTATTTTTCACTCGAATGACCACTGCGGATCACAAAAAATAGTATTCATTGAATAAGTTTATTAAAAACAACTTTAACAAGTCAAAACGTTATAATTTAGCTCATAAAATCTAATATTAAAATGGAAAAGATTCAAGTCATCTCGAAAAGATTCAGTCATTCAAGTCATCGGCACATGTATCCAGTCCTTGCAACAACTCAGCGATTTCTTGAACCAAACGAGCGTTCTTGAATTTAATCATAAAAACAGAAAGAAATAAAACAACAACAAAACTCTCTAAGCAACCTATTGGAATTGCTCCTTCTGGCTTAAAGCATTGGATAAGGTGATCTTCGGATCCACGCGTTTCCTTTGAAGAAGGACATAGGGCTTGAGCTTTTTACCATCCGACCTGGCATTTAACATTACCGAAATGCGCACCTTGTCATTCCCCGTAGTCAATACTCCGACCTCCTCTTTGCGTGTTTCCTCCACGTCATCCTCATTTTCATCTATTGCCTCCGTTGGCTCCCTTTTTGTTCCTCGTAGATCCAGTTGTTAATCATCCCTATTCTTGAAGAATTCTTCTCGTTCATCGTTTTCCCATTAAGCTCGAAATTCTTCAAATCCATCAAGAGATCTCTCGTCGATTGATCCAATTCCTAAAAAGAATAAATTATTGAAATATAATCGCAAGAAAAAAGTGAGAGTAAATGTAATAAATAAATGTTTGGCGCGAAAATGAAAAGGATGGGCTTTTGAAAATGAATTTTAAACATTTCGTAGCTGCCCAGTTTGAATATAATTTAAAAAATTCTATTTCAAATATAAATGAGGTGTCATTAATTTTTCATTGTTCATTGCTTTTGTGACCTTTTTGTCGTTTACGCTTATTTTTGTTGTTTAAAATAAAATTTCGATTTCAATGCTTGGTCATAGCTAAAAGTAGAGTAAAAATGCTCAAAAATACTTGTGACAACTTTTTTATAGCCTCTAGGGAAGGTTCCTAAATTTGCGTTTGAAAGTTGCCTCCCAGGAGCCGCCAAGACTTTTGTCCATGACTGTATAATCGCAACAAAAAGTGAAAGTAAATGTAATAAATGTTTGGCGCGAAAATGAAAAGGATGAGCTTTTGAAAATGAAATTTAAACATTTCGTAGCTGCCCAGTTTAAATACAAATACAAATTCTATTTCAAATATAAATGGGGTGTCATTAATTTTACAATTCCCCTCCGGGTGTCGTTCTGTTTGAGGGTGTCTTTCTAATACAGCATTTACGGTAAATTAAAAGTTGAAAGTTTAGAAAGATTCAATTCTTTCTTTTATTCAATCATTGCTGCTCATTTTTGATCAGAAATTGGCTTTTCATTTTCCCGAAACTTTTGAAAAGCACTGAAATGAAAGGTGATACGTTTTGTAAACATTTCTATTGTGAAATTCGACTTTATTCAATTGATTCATTTGAGAATGATTGTAATATTGATTATTCAATTGATTTCTGGAATCTGGGCTTTACCGACGACAGCCATTTCCACTGAAAGTTTGTTGCCGATGAAAAATGTGGTTAGAGGAAAAATTGAAGAATTTCAAAAGGCTTTCCCGAAAAGTCCAGGTTTGATGGATTTTTTTAGAATTTTTAATAAATGAAAAGATTGAACTCTTTTAGATCTCAAAAGGGTTCAGAAAACAATTCTTTTCAGAGATTGTCATGTTGGAGTTTTTGGAGAAACAAGATGATTTGAATGCTTTTATCAATCAGCTCACAACCCTCAATTTGACCACTTTTGATGAGGTTTTAAGTTGTTTATATGTCGTAGCCGATTATGAATGAAATTTTTTGGCAAATCTTTCTAGTAGAGCAACCCTTTAATATATGAGGACAATATTATATCATCTTGTAGCGAATTAAATTCTGCGTCGATTGGTACCAAATTTATGAGTTTAGGTTAAAAATTGCCGGCGCTACAACGTTTCATTCAAAATTAGCAGGACCCCCGTAGCCGATTATGAATAAGTGAGTTTAGAAGCGTCCAACCGTCAAGTATTTAGTATCATTCAACGCAGAATCATTAATAATTATGTTAAATTTTTAAAATTAGTAAGATTTGATAAAAACAAAAAAATTAGAGCAAAAAAAACTGTTTGTTCAAGAGAAAACTTTGAAGTCCCATAATTTTTTTTCTTTTTATCCAATCTTTCTAATTTAAAAAATTTAACATAATTATTAATGATTCTGCGTTGAATGATACCAAATACTTGATGGTTTGACGCTCCTAAACCCACTCATTCATAATCGGCTGAAATTCATAATCGGCTACGACATATATAAAATATAAATGTTTTAGTTTATGCTTGAGCTTAAAAAGCAGCATCCATCTACTTATGAAGTGATGAAAAAGATGGAAAATCGTTTCATGGAAACGTACAATTCGATGGAGAATGGAAAGGGAAAAGAGTTTGTTAAAGTGGTTCGTTTTAGAACAAATTTCAAAGTGTTTACATCAAAAAGTCGATGATTACGATAAATATAACTTTTTTTAGAATAAGATTTAAAGCATAATTGTTCGGCTAAATCCTTTCAGAGTTACGTTTTGGCTTGGGAAAGCACGAAAGCTCTATTGCTCATGAAAAATGTTGAGACGGTGAATCTCTGGAAACAATTCGAGATGCTGGCAAGACTACAGGCATTGGTTGGTTGATAGATTCGAGGATTTGACTGTTTGAGTTGATAGACAATTTGATAATGATGAACCGAGCTGAACTGAAGAGATGAGCTTGTCAATTACTTTGTCTTCAGGGCCACTCAATCAAGCGACTCATGAAAGAAGTGACGGATTCAGAATGGGATTCCCTTGTCGAGTTATTCCCTTTTACTGTCGCTGGGGGCAAAGATAATCTGCCAGAAAGGATTCAGAAAAGACTCAGCGATATTGGAATCATTGAAATGACAAAATTGAATGTGTAACAATAAAAATTTGATTACTTTTAAATTACTGTTGTTCTTTTACTTCGATATTTTGTGCTGCAATCAAAAGACTGATGCAATCATTTGACCCATTTGCATAAACTATTTGCAAGAGATTACAAAACAAAAGAGATAAGGAAAAAGATTGAACTGTTTACTCACTTTTTACCTGTATAAAAGGCACAAACAATAGCTGATTTTTCAAATTTTACCAAAGTTGATTCTTTTGATTTTAAAATCTAAATTTATATCGCTTTTCCACTTTTTAATCTCTTTTCCCAACTTGGCTCCAGGGTTTTGACGAAGAAAAAACAAGAAAAACAAGAAAAACGCGATCTTATCTCAAAAAAGCCAACGGTTCGACCTCTTTTCTCACTTCAAAACAATTCAATTTTGAAAATCTTTGGTTTCTTAGATATTTTTCTTTTAAAATTACAAAACTAATAATCTTACAGATCTAAATATGACATCGTTTTTTTCTGGGATCCCGATGGGCGCACCAATCGAAGTCTATCAAATGAACGATCTCTACAATCAATCGAAAGATGGAAACAAAGTCAATTTGACGGTTGGAGGTAAATGATAGCTTGCAAGCTAACAATCCCGTCAGCTTTCCTACCAAATTTGTTTAGCTTATCGTACTGAAGAAGGGAAACCCTGGGTTCTCCCGGTTGTGAAAGAAGCTGAGAAAATTTTGATTGATGACGAATCATTGAATCACGAATATCTGCCTGTACTTGGATTGGATGCTTTCTCAAAAGTGGCAACAAAATTGGCATTGGGTGAGGAGAGTTCGGCGATCAAGGAAGAAAGGGTGAGGCTTTGAGAACTTTAGTAGATGTAGAAGTTGAAGTTGAAGTTGAAGTAGAAGCTGAAGTAGAAGCTGAAGTAGAAGTTGAAGTAGAAGTAGAAGTAGAAGTAGCAGTTTGAAATTGTTAGGAAATGAGTTTAGGTGATTGGTGTGCAATGTCTCTCTGGGACAGGTTCTCTTCGAATGGGAGCCGAGTTTTTGGCGCGGATTCTCAAGTTGAAAACCGCTTACTACAGTGATCCGACGTGGTATTTTTATAATTGTAACTACACAAATCTTACAGTGTTCTTGAGAAAACTTGGGACAATGTTTAGGGGAAATCACGATATGGTATTCACGAATGCCGGCTTCACGAGCTGTCACAGTTATCGTTTTTGGGATTCTGTCAACAAGCGGGTTGATATTGAGGGTTTTCTAGAGGTGAGAGAAAACTTTTCAAAAAGAACTTTGACGCAAACTGATGGAGAGACAAAATTTGCATACTTTCTTATTGAAAAAGATGTTTAGGATCTTGAATCAGCTCCATCGAAGTCAGTGATCATTCTACACGGCTGTGCTCATAACCCAACCGGAATGGATCCAACTAAAGAGCAATGGAAACAAATTTGTGAAGTTGTCAAGGTGATTTGACTTGGATTATAGAGAATTTGCAATTTTTAAGCGTAAAAACCTGTTCCCTTTCTTCGACATGGCTTATCAAGGATTTGCCTCGGGAGATCCGGCCGCTGATGGATGGGCTGTGAGATATTTCATTGAACAGGTCATATTTGAAGTAGTACAAGCAATGGCTCCAACAGATCATTGTAAACCAGGCAAGGAAAGGCCAGAGCTGAACAGAAACCAGGTCCAGCCAAGCCAGATGAGTCAAGGTCAGAAGCTAGGCTAGAACCTGGTCTTTGTCTGGCTTAGCTTAAGCCTTGTAATTAATCTAATCCAACTCAATTCCAGGGTCTTGAAATGTTCATTGCTCAATCATTCGCAAAGAATTTTGGACTTTACAGTAGGTTTTGGGTATTAGAAAGAAATTACCGTGAAGATTGTAATAGTACCCCACCCCCATAATGACGGTGCGGAGTGTTGCGTAGTCTAGCTTTGAACGAGTTTTTCTCGACACTGGTTTATGCTACAATGCGCGCTTAGGTATCAAAAAATAGCTGAAATTCAGGGCCATTTTTTGATACCAAAGACGCATTTTTTCAAAGTACGGGCGCTTTGAAAAAAATGAAATACTAAAAAACTTTTGCGACTACGCGACTGTACGAGGGCGGTGGGGTACTATTACAGTATTTACGGTAGATATTAAAATCAAAAATTCTTGATAAACTCATTCAGATGAAAGAGTCGGCCACTTGACCATCGTTCTCAACGATCCATCAGCGATTCCATCGTTCAAATCACAAATGCAGTTGATCATTCGAGCGAATTGGTCGAATCCACCGGCACATGGGGCTAGAGTAAGAAAAGGGTTTAATTCTAAAGTTTTACCCGATTTAGATTGTGGCCAAAGTGTTGGGCGATCGGGAATTGTATCAGCAATGGTTGCAAGCAATTCAGGTAACTGGATTCAGGTATAGGTAGCAGCTCTTGTGCTCAACTTTGTTATTTCTCAAGTAAGCCTAAAATAGAACTTTGTTATTTCACAAGTAAGCCTAAAAGTAAGCCTTCCAGACAATGTCTTCAAGAATCCGCGAAATGAGAGCAGCTTTGAAAGCGAATTTGGAGAAGTTGGGCACTCCAGGCACATGGGATCATATCACACAACAAATCGGAATGTTTTCCTATACTGGACTCACTCGTTCGTTTTCAAGATAATAGAAATCTTTGTCTTTGTGTTGGGCATACTTTTCTAGTACTTTTCTATCTTTCAATTGAATTGTAGGCGATCAAGTACTATACCTTGTGGACAAGTATCATATCTTTATGCTTACCGATGGACGAGCGAACATTTGTGGATTGAATACGAAAAATGTCGAGTATGTCATGTATTTTGGATTGAGTGTACTTCTGGATCTTAGTCTGTCTTAGTGATCAATTTAATGCTAGTAAGTTTTAGATATGTTTCGAAAGCGATCGATGATGCGATTCGAAACGTCAAGAGTTAACTTTTTGTTGGGTTTTTAAAGCCTGTTTTCTTGTGTAATAAAATTTTTGGTCAAAGAAATGTTTATGACAAAGAAAGTAAACAAGAATTTAAGCTGATAAGAAATTTAGGGAAAAATCATGGAAAGCGTTTGTTGTGCAAGAAAATAACAAGCCAATCTCTATGCACAGCACTCCATACAGAAAGATTTTAGGGAAAACCATGGGTTACACGCTTGACAGCATTGTATTAGGGATTGAGTGTACTTCTGGATTTAATGCCAGTAAGTTTTAGATATAAGCGATCGATGATGCGATTCGAAACGTTAACTTTTTTTTTGTATTCTTGAAAAATTTCTAATTCTGCTTAAAACTAGTATTCAAGCCTGTTTTCTTGTGTAATAAAATTTTTGTTCAAAGAAATGTTTATGACAGCAAATGTAAACAAGAATTTAAGCTGATAAGGAATTTGGGAAAAATAATGGCAAGCGATTTTTTAAGCAAGAAAATAACAAGCCAAAATAATGGAAAGCGATTTGTTGAGCAAAAAAATAATAAACCAATTTCTATGCACAGCACTCCATACAGAAAGATTTCGGGCATTTCGGGCATGGATTACATTCTTGACAGCATTGATCACACATCAATTGAACGCACGCTCCTTTCTCTGTGTGGCATGGGCATGTGAGCATAAAGATATGATACTTGTCCACAAGGTACAGTACTTGGTCGCCTACAATTGAAAGATATAAAAGTACTCAAGTTCAGCACAAAGACAAATGCCTTAAATTAGATAATATAACTTTTATATCTAGAGAAGTCTAATTCAAATGGCGTATTAAATGTTTTATGTAAAATACGAAAAAGTGTACCAACATTGCCAGTTGCCAAACTAATAAAAGGCGAGGACTTTAAATTCCAAAATTCATATCTTAGTTGGGAGTGGGACAAATGCGACCTTTTTTTGCGCACCTGGACATTTGCGCACCTTTTTTGCTGGAAAAGGCCTTAGGAAAGGTCGTAGAGCTTCAAAAATGTTTTCATAGAGGGGAATCGTATGCGTAGATTCCGAATTTCGACAAATCAGACCTCGCTGACACGTCAAATTTGGGCTAAAAGGCAAAAACTACGCAACTTAACGCTTTTCCGCAGTTTTTGCCTTTTAGCCCAAATTTGACGTGTCAGCGAGGTCTGATTTGTTGAAATTCGGAATCTACGCATACGATTCCCTTATATGGAAAAGTTTTCGAAATATTTTTGAAGCTCTACGGCCTTGCCTAAGGCCTTTTCCAGCAAAAAAAAGGTGCGCAAATGTCCCACCCCACATCCGCGCGAAATAAGGCGAAAAATCGTTTTCTATCCGTTTTCCATGTTTGAATAGCCATTCAACGCAGAAAAATGTGCTGATTTCAATGGTGAAAAAATTATCAAAATCCGTCTGATACATTTTTTAAAAATCGCGTTTTATCGAAAAAATCGCACTTTTACAAGCAACTCGCTCGCAGCGACCAACTTTCGGCGGCTCGTTTTCAGCGTGGTCGAAAGATTGCGCCCTCAAAACCGATAACTTTTGTGTGGACGTTTATAAAGATCATTTTGATACCAAAAAAATAAAAATTGATCAACTCTGCGAAGACTTGATGCCTTTTTAAGTTGAAAATGACGTTTTGCGACTTTCTGCCCGCTAAAACGTGGGCAATCGCCAACAACCTATTTAAAGCATCCAGACATTTATATTACTCTATTTACGTGTCAAAAAGCATGAAGTAGAAAAGCCGCGCTTGTTTCCTTTCATTCATTTCCTTATTCTTTTCTTTTGGCTTTTCTCGTCGTGTTTTTTCGTCATGTGTCTGCAAATTTTGGATTAATGCTTAAGGGAAGTTTTTTTTAAAATAGATTGCTTTGTTTGGACGAATTTTAGCCATCACCACCACATCAAAGCAACGAAAAGAGCAAGATGTTCCAAGCGATGACAAATCACAGGTTTAATTGGGTCTTTGAAGCGTTTCTTTCAACATTTTTTTGCATTTCGATACCTAAATTTATGCGAGATTAACAAATTGAATAAATATAACGCCTGAAAAAGAAACATAAAGCATGGTCGTAAACTTTCATATTAAATAAGACCCAAATCAAATAGCAAGACATTAACAGCGTGTCGTTTAGTGGCGAATAAGAGTGTTTCGAGTTTATTTAGACGTTTAGTTCGACGGCATAAATTGCCAATGATTGAATGCAATGATTCCAAGCCCTCCTCACCCATGTTAGCCAGACAATTATTTTCGTTCAAAAACTCTGGAATGTGTTTCAACGCTACGTGTGACTTCACGGATCGTGTTCCAATATCAAGAATTTCCATACTTGAGAGAAGTTGTTTTAACTTTTCACAAATATCATCAATCTCTTTAACCGGTAATTGTGCTTTAGTTGAGGCTGAACTTCGAGAGAAGTCATCGAAGATATCCAAACAATTGCACAAATCACTGTAACGAGATGACATTGAAACTTTTCGATACATATTTCGATTCTGACAAAGTTTTTTGATTTTTGGACGATTTAGATCATCCGACCTGTGCGTCTTGAGAAATCCTAGCTTTTTTGAAAACTCTTCGAATTGCACGCGTTCCAACGAATTAAGATTAACTTCAGCTTCCATAGCCTTGAATATTTGATTTCCGAATCCTAACTTGATGTGCAGAATCGGAGGAACACAATGTTTAGGCTCAATGTTCCATACATATGGCCGAAGCACACCCTTTCGATTTTCGGCATCTTTTGGTGGAAGTTTTAAGCGCTCATCAAAACTCAGGATGGTACGTCTTTCGTAGTGTGTTTGGTCTAATTTCTCCTTAACGCCCGTAATTTTTCGCGTCTTCACAGCTTTAAAGAAGCACCACACACAGGGATACGTTGAAGCACACGACATTCCGAATGCAGAAGCCAGAATGAAACTGAGATCACCGCCCAAGAAGAAGGCACAAGGTAAAGGTGAAAGCTTTTCAAACAAGTCCTTTATCTTGCACAGATTTTCGTTATTGTCATAACCATACCACGCGGCAAGTATCAGTTGATTGTAAGGGGATTGTTGCTTTTCCGACTTGTCTGGAAACATGATTGTAACTTTGGTAATATCCAGTCCTTTATCACATAAAAGTACAGCACGGTGTTTCTCGTTGTCTTTAATTTTAGACAGTCGATATTGGACGGAAGAAAACATGTCTTTTAGCTTCACAATATCGCCTTCAATTTCATAGTCGACGCTTTTTGCAAGGGTTGCCCGTACCATATTCATACGATACTCCGTTGCAAGAGTACGAGTCTCATGACTCATAAATTCGATGAGCGTCCCGTGATACTTTAGATTTCGAGTAAAGTGCAAGGGTTTGTAACAGAGAAAGCGATCGACAGACAATATTTCTTCTCATCCTTTTTCTGTGATTTTTACATTGAACTTTCCGGGCAGCTTTAAGGATTTTTCTTTGTTTTCGTCGCATCTCTGCAGTGATTTTTCCTTTCTTTATCTTTCCTCTTCTAACAATCAACATTTCTGCCTGATTCAAAGTTGCTCGCTCTTTTTTTCGTTTTAAATCTGTTATTCTCTTCATAGATGCACTTTTGCGTTTGCTTGCCTGTGGCATCGCTGTCGAACCTGAAATGAAAATACTAATGTTAAGCTCAAGAAATGATAAACTTTCTGAAATAAGAAACGAATTAATCAAAAAGCTAAAAAAATGACTGCTGGTAGTTGGTTAATCGTCTCTTTGTGAACAAGAAATATACCGAACCTATTAAAAAGCTTACTAGGAGTTTGTTTATCAACAATTTAAATAGAGATAAGTTAAATATAAGTTAAAAGCCTCTGGGAAAAACGACAAATTCAAAGAGAGTAATATAAATGTCTGGCTGCTTTAAATAGGTTGTTGGCGATTGCCCACGTTTTAGCGGGCAGAAAGTCGCAAAACGTCATTTTCAACTTAAAAAGGCATCAAGTCTTCGCAGAGTTGATCAATTTTTATTTTTTTGATATCAAAATGATCTTTATAAACGTCCACACAAAAGTTATCGGTTTTGAGGGCGCAATCTTTCGACCACGCTGAAAACGAGCCGCCGAAAGTTGGTCGCTGCGAGCGAGTTGCTTGTAAAAGTGCGATTTTTTCGATAAAACGCGATTTTTAAAAAATGTATCAGACGGATTTTGATAATTTTTTCACCATTGAAATCAGCACATTTTTCTGCGTTGAATGGCTATTCAAACATGGAAAACGGATAGAGAACACCATTTCGCGCGGATGTGCACCCCCATCTTAGTTAGAAAAAGAGAACGAAATTTTGTTTGTGCACTGAAAACCGTTTTTCATTGACGTTTTCCGTTTTCCGTTGACGAACCATTTGCATTGTGTTTACACTTTTCAGGTGAGATTTTTATCTCGCAACAAAATGCACAGAAAAAGAAAATGAAAAACACTTCTTTGCTTTACAAAAACAAAAAAAAAAATAAAAAACCCTTATCTTTGACATATTTTTTTGCTGAAAGAAAATTAGCAGGTTTACAGTGCACAAACAAATCTAATATCTATATATGCCAATCTATTATCAGAAGCTGAGCGTTGAGTGCAGTTAAATTCAATCCTTTTGTCCAATCGCAAACTTTGGCGATACACAACGGGTACAACTACAAACGTTTCTATATAAGGGAAACACGTTTGGCGAAATATTTTTTTTCTCAACAGATGGATCGATCTAAAACTTTGGCAATTTCTTAGTTGGAGTGCACTTTAAATGTTGTTTAGAATAGTTTTTTGATTTACCGTCAAAATTTTTCCCTTATGTTGTACCCGTTGTGCGATATTTCTCTTAAATCCACAAGATATCATGTTTTCCCAATTCCTTCTTTTTCAGCTTTTCATTATGTCCTCCAATGGGGCCTTGATCGGCGTTTTGGTGGACGTTTCTGGCTCAATGCAATCCATCTACGAGACGGGCAACAATTTGACGAATGACGGGATCTCGAGAATTCAATCTGTCCTACAAACGATTCACGAGATTCTCAAGCAAGAGCTCAAAAATGATTACGACAATCGGGTTTTTGCTTCAGCTTTTGGGTTGAGCAGCAAGAAAGCCGACAATTGTGATTTGCTGCAGTTACTGGATGGACTAGAAAAGTCTCGAGAACAATTTGAGGCGTTTCTGAGGCCACTCAGTGCAACGGAGATCCGAAATGGAAAAGGGGCACTAAACAGACTGCTGGGACAACATAATGTGCTTTATGCGGAAAAATTTCTCAACGATTACCTAACCGACGAACAATGTGCACGGATCCACAAATTGGCTCGATTTCCAGAAAACGGAGCTCTCGTAAAAGAGTTTATCGAAAAATTGCCAGCAGCATGCAAGAATCCAGTGGCGAATGCGAGTGCAAGAGGTGGTGGATTTTTGATGGATACCTTTGGTTTGAATCGTGTCTTTGGTGATCCGGCTGAAAGGGCCACCAGAGAGCACGCCGATGAAGCTCTGGCAGCATTTGAATCTTTTTTTACACATCCAGGAGAAAATAAAATCTTCCCAGTTGGAGATGCTCTATCGATCTACGAAAAAGCTCTGGGTAAAGAGACCAATAAGACTGGAATTACAAAGGCAAGTCTTGACCAATTTGTCTCTTTGATCAAGCCGTTAATTTATGGTGGGACGCCACTATGTGCTGCTCTAGAGAGGTTCCATGAAGTATTCGAGAAAAGTACCCAAAAAGAAAAGATTCTGTTCTTGGTGACAGATGGAGAGGCGACAGATGGAAAACCGGGCAAACTTGCGAAGAAATTTCAAAGTTCTGGCATCCGAGTGATCGTGTGTTTTCTGACAAACAAAGACTTTGGGGAAGCGAAAAGATTCTACTATGAAATGCCTAACAATTGGGATGCTGAAACAAAGAGCCTATTTGAATTGGCAAGCGATGTCGACAATTTCCATCCGTTGATGAGTCTTCCATTGGAGAGGGGATGGCAGTTGGCGCCGGAGGGACGAAGCAAGCTTTTCATTCAGGTTGATTACGAGTTAATTTAAGGAAAATGAACCAAAAATTAGTAGTTATAGTCTGACTGTCACTTCAGAAAGAATTCAACAGTTTCATTTAGGCGAACCATCCTTCGACTCTCTCGGAAGTGGGCCAAATAGCTTCTGCCGGTTCAGTCTCTCCAGCTCTGAGTTTGATCTCGCGCGCCTCTCTCGATGAATTCATCAACTCGGAGATCTCAATGGGAAAAGGAAAGGCTCCGAATCAAGTTGGTGGCACTTGTTATGCCAATGCTTCGGCTTGGGCGATATATTTCGCTCAGAAAAGGATTTATCAGCGAAAGGGTGGTTACTCAACTTTTGAGGAGCTCCGAAAGGAAATGATTGAAAGATTTGGATCGCATGGAGCGGTCACCAAAGTCGTACTTGACGAGTTTTGCAAGAAGCACCGATTGCAATGCAACAAGATCGATGAATCAGCGGCAAAAGTGGCCATTTCAAAGCGGCGCCCGGTGGCCACCACGTTTAGGCTCTCGAAAAAACAGTGGTCGAAATTCTCCGAGTTCTACACTCAAACCCCTTCAGGCATTCTAACGAAACAGAGCCTTGGCTCGGAGGACGGCGAACAGGGCGGTCATGCAGTCATTCTGATCAAAGTTGAGCCGGATTGTTTAGTCTTCATGAACAGTTGGAGACCATATTGGGCAGATAATGGATACTTTCGAATCAAAGACGCTAGTACGCTCGACTGTCAATTCTATGATGTCTTTTGGACTTTGTGTGATTTGACTCCAGAAGAAAAAGCTGATTACAATAAATGGAAGGCCTCTGGAGCCACTCTGCTCGAGAAATTGCCCGAGAGCATCAAATCGTTGGCCTACACTTGCCCGAAATGTCATCGAGCGTCGCCGGCCAACAAATTCCGTGGGAATTTCGAGGTGGCCGTCTGCCCGTTGTGTCATCGAGATTTCACTCCAATGTTCCTCGATTTTGTTCCTCTTTCAAAGCACTAAAAACTCAAGTGTAACTAAGAAACTAACCGTCTTTTTACTATCACATATTCATTTTGATTTTTTCCGTGTCAAGTTTAAAGTTTTTCTCTGTCCACATTTATAAACGTTATAAAACAACATTGTGTCTTGTCACTAACACGAAACAGTCAAAGAACCGCATTTGAGAGCAATAAAAGTATTAAAACTAAAGATTAAAACTAAACTAAAGTATTAAAACTAAGGCTTCTAAAAATGATACTTTATAAACATTGTCTTGTGTTTAATTGTTTGTTCAGAATGCATTTAAATCGCTTTAAACGAAACTAATTTATCTGAGCACTAAAACCAATGAAATCAAATCAATCCTGACAAACGTGGATCTCTTTGCAAATCTCGGTCGCACTCTTTCCGGCCTTGTTCATCTCAACGATTTGCGGGATTTCGTGTCCGTTCAACCGCGACTCATCGAACATATCACAATCGGAAGCACGAAGAAGAAAGAAATCGCGAGGAAGGTGTTCATATCTGAAAATTTCAAAGTGTAGACCATTTTTTTTAAATGAAGTACGATGAAGAAAATTAGTAAAGGCTGAAGATTTACTCCAAAAAGGACTTTATTTACAGTGTAGTTTCGGGAAAGGAACAAATTTTGTTATGGAGGACGCTAAGCTTAGGCTGACGGCTGAATAATTAGGCTGACGAGAAGGGGAGGAAGAGGATCGAGATTCCCCAGAGGTTCCTATTTTGGGGAAAAGAAGAAATGAATTGAATTAAAACCGAAATCCAGCTTCCAGTCACAAATTCGTGAAGGTCTCCGTCTGTTCGTTGAGCACCCGCGATGCCCAGGCCCAGGAATTTGTGGCTGAAAGTTGGATTTAGTAGGGCAGCAGATCCGATCAGCATATATCCATGAGAGGGGGATATCCCGGTAAGCATAGCTGAAGAAGAGGGACCCCCGGGCCCCCCCTCCTATAAATTCCCCCACTTACCGTACCACCGTGTCACGGATATGATAATTTGAGCATCCCAGGGGTAGCATAGGTGGGGCAACCTATAGAGTGGACCCGGGGATACGGTAACTGGGGGAATTTATAGGAGCGGGGGCCCGGGGGTCCCTCTTCTTCAGCTATGCTTACTGGGGTATCCCCCTCTCATGGATATATGCTGATCGGATCTGCTGCCCTACTAAGCTATCCAGCTTTCAGCCACAAACTCGTGAAGGTCTCCGTCTGTTCGTTGAGCACCCGCGATGCCCAGACTCCGTGAATCCATTCATGAATATTCTCGTCGCTCAAGTAACATTTCATATTTTTCATTCATTAAACGTCAAAAGCAAAACATACCCGAGGGACCAAGTAAATAAAGTCCTACGAGCTGCTGAAATACAAATTTAAGTCATGTACACGGTGGTTGAACAGTTCTGTCCTCATTAATAGATTTGTCTCTGTAATAAAACTTGTAAAAGCCTAAAGTGTCTCAAATTTTAATGTTTACACAATTCTTTACTCTCCGCCAACCATATAAACCTGGAGAAACAGAAGGATGGTTTCAAAAACTTTTTTTTGTATTAATGCCTGTGAGCGAATACCATTTTTCAGTTTGGTCGCGTGTTAAGTTTCTACAATTCGTTCTCTAAACCAGTTTTGGTTTCCTTAAACGCAAATTGTGATAGCCTATCTGAAAAAAGAAGAATTTTTCCTTAGAACCATACCTTACATAGTCAGATTGCTTTTGAAATTATCGATTTTGAGAGCCTCAAACATTGTTAGTCGACCTTAAAAATTATCGGAGTTCAAGGGAGTTGCTTAAAAAACATAAAAAATGCACTTCAAAAAAACAAATTCCTCTTTAAAACAAACATATCTAAAAGGTCAAAATGGTCGAGTTAATTGAAATCGTCGGGCTTGAGTTTCCTGTGTCCATACTATACGATTCTCTTGAACTTGTTTCCCATATTCAACGTGATGTTCATCGTTGTTCTTATCAAGGTTGAGAGTTTTTTTTAATCTTGTATCGGCGAGAGCAAATACCTTTTCCGGTTCATTTTATTCGAATGGATTGATCTTAGTAATAAATTTAATGCCAGTAAGTTTTAGATATATTTCGAAAGCGATCGATGATGCGATTCGAAACGTTAACTTTTTTTTTGTATTCTTGAAAAGTTACTAATTCTGCTTAAAACTAGTATTCAAGCCTGTTTTCTTTTGTAATAAAATTTTTGTTCAAAGAAATATTTATGACAGCAAAAGTAAATAAGAATTTAAGCTGATAAGGAATTTAGGGAAAAATAATGGAAAGCGATTTGTTAAGCAAGAAAATAACAAGCCAAAATAATGGAAAGCGATTTGTTGAGCAAAAAAATAATAAACCAATTTCTATGCACAGCACTCCATACAGAAAGATTTCGGGCAATACCATGGATTACAATCTTTACAGCATTGATCACACATCAATTGAACGCACGCTCCTTTCTCTGTTTGGCATGGAGCTGGATCGGTGAAGAAAGTCAACACTCTCGCAACACTCTGAAAGTTTAGGATTCGTTTATGATCAAAGAATTTTGCATAAATAAGCTTACATAGGTTTTAAGAATTAAAATGAGCGTTAAACAGTTGTTAAACTCGAATTCAAGAGGTAAAGGACTTTAATTAAAGGTCAACTTTTGGAAAACGAATTTTTGGTGTTGTTGTAAGTGTTGTTAATGATTTAAAGAAGATCGTTTGCTATTAGGTTGAGAAAAAAATAATGTGCGTTTTCAATTTCGCATTGGGGAATTGAAGTTGACTTCAAACCAGCTTGCAGAAATGTTTGATAGTAGAGAAAAATGAAAAAATGTCAGAGAAAAAATGTTTTTCCAGACGTTTTCATGTTAAATTTGAATTTCTGTTGCAAATTTGATCTTATTCTTAAACATTAATTTTCGCGCGACGTCGCATTCCAATTGACGTCGTCGCCATTTGGAGGGAGTCCATTTGAAGCGCCGCGTCGTCGTTTCTTTTTCGTTTGAAATCATTTGTTTCTTCGTCGTTTTTTTTCTTTTTCAAATCATTTTGTTTTTTTGTCAAATTAATTGAAAGTATTATTTTGTGTTTCTTCTTGAAATGAGAAAGCAATCTATTTCCATTTGGGAGCCGAGTAGAGGATCCGGAACTTTACGTAGCCGGGCCACAATGAAGGTTAAAACTAACTGTAAGATGATTTGGAGAGTTGAATGGAAAAAACAGAAGCAAGGCTCATCTTCTGGATCGTTAAAAAACTTGATGTTGATCAGAAGAAAATCGACAACCATTTGCATTAACTCGGGAAAAAATTCACTGGAAAATGGGTCTCGGGCGAATTGACTCAGAACAACAAAACTCGTGAAAACGTCAGTTCTTTTTGCTTCATAAATGCAAAGCTGGTGGTTTTTGGGATTCGATTTTAACATCTGAAACTCGGATGAATTACGAGAATGTCAAAAGAAAGTACCAATAGCTATCTACCGCTCAAACCACTCCCAAGCCTGATATTCATGGAAAGAAAGTAATGCTCTGTTGTTGGCGGAACTTTGGTGCACGATGAGTTAGCTAATCCAGGAGAAAACATTGATGCTGATCTATATTCAAAACAATTGACTAGAGTTAACGATGCTTTAAAGAAATTGAGACTCAATCCATCAAAGATTCGATTTTTGCACGACAATGCGAAAGCCGACGCTGCAAAAGTGACTCATAAAAAAATAAACAATCTGGACTGAAAGGTTCTTTCTCATGCACTCTCTTGCCTTGAGAAGGATTTGTACATGCACCTTACTCTCTTGAGAGGGTTTGATGATCATGCGCAAGTCAAAAAAAAGCAGTTGACAACTATTTTGGCTCCAAAAATCCTCAATCTTTCAAATGGAATCGAGGACTTCAAGGGCATTGAAGATGGGAAGAAGTCATCAATAAAAATGGAGAATACTTTCCTGATTGATAGTTGCTATTTCTTGTAGAATGCAATAAATTGTTACACTCAAAAAACGCGCATTTTTTCCTCAACCTAACATTTGAAATAAATACAACCAAAATTGAAAGATCGTTCATTATTTACAATTGCTTAGAATGTCCACAACTTTACTGTAAACAAGCTTTCATTCTTACAACTAACGTACCCGTTTTGCACGCATTCTCTCCTCATTCGCTTCATTTGAGAGCACTTGATGGAAAAGAATCACCAACAAAAGCAAGAAATATTTCAGTGACATCACAGATTTCTGGAAAGGTTTGAAAGCTTTTCAAAAATTGATCAGACAAGGCTGAGAAATAAAAACTGCCTTTGGGTGATTGTCAGTCAGACTATCCAGAGTGTTATGACCATCTCTAACCATCTAAATCCTACATTTGATGAATACTTTTCCTTTGTTGTTTATTTGTTTTCCTATTGAGTGATGTTCTTAACTCACTAAGAAAACAAATCATTGGGGTTCATCGAACAAAAGTTTTCAGTTTTTTTTAGTTTTATCGGTTTTTTGCTTTTAATTGGCATATCTTTGAGCTTTTGAAGAAGACTTTTTGGGAAAAGTGCCGGGATTTAAAGTGAGTTATGGTTGCATTAAAGAATGAATGCATTTCTAGAGTTTATACTCAAGATCACAGCAAAACCAAGCGACAGTGATAAAGCTCGCGTTGCTGATGTTCATGTAAAGGTTGGCTTGGTGCTTCTAAAAGGTGGACAATTAGAAAAAATGCCGTAAATCCTTCCTCTATTCTCGATTCCAATTCAGGGCTTGATTCTTATGGAATTGGAAACTATAACCGGATTACGATGACTTTCCAAATTATCTTTAACAACTTTAACAACAAATTATCTTTAACAACAATCTTTAGCAACAATTTTTAACAACTTTATTGTCACGACAAGTCTCAGTTTCCCTCAATTTTCAGGAAATGTACACAGGCGACAGTCAAAATGATTACTTTGCTCAATTGGAAGAACAGTGAATGATGAAGAAAGTTGGATAAAAACTCAATCTATAAAAAAATCTAATAGCTAATGAGTTTTCTAATAAAGTTTACAAAAAACTAGCAAAGTATACTGTAAAGATTGGATTGATTAAAGTTTACAGACATTTCCGTAAAGTGCGGATCGTTTTGAATCCCGTGAAAGGCTGTTCAAGTCAATTTTCTCCCGTCAATCTTTGCATTCAAGTGCTTCTTTGATCACTGAGTTTAGAAAGATCTACAGAAAACTTGAACCAATCTGTGTCAGGGAGAATGAAGAGATTAAGAGAGGCTTTGAAATAATACAGAAGTCGTAAACTAACTAAATAACAGCACAAATTAATTGACTTCGATCAACAATGTTTCCCAACAACAGCAATTCGTTTCGATCAAGCAAATCTTTAAAAATTCTTTTCTGAATAAGGAAGAGAATGATTAAATTCCGTAAAAAGGCTGTTCAAGATTGGATTGGATTGCTTAAAGTTTACAGACATTTCCGTAAAGTACGGATCGTTTTGAACCACGTGAGAACGGCTGTTCAAGTCAATTTTCTCGCGTCAATCTTTGCTTTCAAGTGCTTCTTTGATCACTGAGTTTAGAAAAATCTACAGGAAAATTCTAATAGAAGACCATGGTATTTTAACTTTCAATCCCTTAAAATTGGCGATCAAAAAAGTAGATAAAGGTTCATATGAATCAAAAAGTTATTCATTCATTTTTTTCGAAAAGCATGTTTTCAATTTTTTTCAGAGGCTAAAATATTAGGTTGGTGCAGATGAAACTTCCGTTGGAACCATAAACAAAATTTATTATAAAAATCGTAATACAGAACCTCAATCCAAAAGATATTCGCCATCATTATCAATGACTCTTTGCCATCTTCCACGCAGAGAATGGATGCCCTTTTCGAAGAACTCGGGCAACTGCGACTCGAAGAAGTTGGACACCCAGATCTCAACTTCTTCGCGGTTTTTGAATTTTTTTTCTGCTAAAGAGTGCTGCATCGACCGAAACAAGTGGTAGTCGGATGGGGCCAAGTCCGGGCTATATGGCGGATGAGGCAGAACTTCCCAGCCTAATTCCTCGATTTTCTGCTGAGTGATCTTTGCGGTGTGGGGTCGAGCGTTATCGTGGAGGAATTTTGTAGTCGCCGTGTTATTACCTTGACGACGCAATGCCTGGTCCGCGCGGCTCAATTGGGCTTTGTAGAGATCCGCCGTGACTCTTTGGCCCGAATCCAGCACCTCAAAATACACGAGACCTTTACTATTTCACCAATACAAAGCATCACCTTTTTTCCGTGGATATTCGGTTTGGGAGTCGGTTTTGGCGGTTCACCGGCGTCCAACCACTGCCGTTTTCTTGTTGTGTTGTCGTAACATATCCACTTTTCATCTGCCATAACAATGGAGTCGAGAAAACCGGCGGTCTTTGCGCGGCGGACGAGAATTCCAGCCATTGTAGCTCGAGCCGCTTTGTTTGCGTCGCTGAGCTGAAGTGGCACCCATTTTCCACACCGATTCGTCTTACCAATTGCGTGCAAATGGCGGAGATTGGTTGTATGGTCGCAGTCAAACAGCTCTGCAAGCTCCCGAGTTGTTTGGCATGGATCCGATTCGATAGCGTTCTTCAACTCATCGTTTTTCGCGTTTTTCGTCTTCCAAACTCTCATCACCGTCTCGGAAGCGCTGAAACCAAGTCCGGCATTGACGTTCGGACAACACGACATCGCCGAATGCTTTGCACAGAGATTCCGCAGGCGTTCTGCCTTGTTTAAAATCATACAACAAGCAAACCCGCACTCGAAATTTTTCGTCAACCATTTTCTAGAAGCTAAAAATTACTTCAAATTAAGTAAAACGCATAAGTCTTAGATATCAAAAGACGCGGAAAGAGACGCTCTTTCAGATAGACAAATATCTTCAATAAAAACTTTTATAAGGTTCAAAATATAAACAAACAAGTGTGACGGAAGTTTCATCTGCACCAACCTAATACTTCTATCTAGACCTAAATCTAGCATTCTATCTAAAAAGAAGTTTCAAAAAGTCCCGATTTCAGGGGATCAGGTGGTGGTCTTCTATTAGAATTTCTACCATAGTTTGAACTTTGAATCTAGTCTTGAAACTAGGTCAAGACTTGATCTGATTTTCCAAGGCAAGCCAAGCCAAGCCAAGGCAAGCCAAGCCAAGGCAAGCCAAGGCAAGCCAAGGCAAGCCAAGGCAAGCCAAAGCCAAGCCAAGGCAAGCCAAAGCCAAGCCAAGGCAAGCCAAAGCCAAGCCAAGGCAAGCCAAAGCCAAGCCAAGGCAAGCCAAAGCCAAGCCAAGGCAAGCCAAAGCCAAGCCAAGCCAAAGCCAGCCTTGAACCGAACCTGATCAATTGATCAAACTGATCAATGCCAAACAAAACTCCAAACTAAACCAGCATTGAATCAAGTTTTGATTTTGAACTTGAGTACCAAGAGCTCTTTACTCTATCCTTTTAAAAATGAATGACTTTTTACTTGAAAGGATTTCCACTTTTTGAAAGGATTTCCACTTTTTGAAAACTCATCAAATTGTTTGATTGCAATTGATATAAGCTCTTCAGATATTTTCAATTATTAAAACCAATAAAACCATTAAAAGCTTTTAATTTTGAACACTCGAAATGGATTTGAGAAGAAAATTTGGAGAAGAAAAAGAAAAACTGAGAAAAAAGAAAACTCAAATCCATTTCGAGTGCTCAAAAGTAAAAGCTTTTAATGGTTTTATTGGTTTTAATAATTGAAAATATCTGAAGAGCTAATATCAATTGCAATTAAACTATTTTTAGTAAGTAAACTTTTACTTTTGTATCACTTTTTTTTTTCTGTAAAACGATTTCCCCATAAATTTTCGTTAGAAATCTTTGAGTCACATGTGTGGGAAACTTCTGAGAATAAAATGCCGAAAATTTCTCTTATTCTTTGTCTGTTTCAACTACATTTCACAGTGAACCAGGTAGGAACTAATCAGCTGGACTTCCATAAATGTTTTTGATGTGTTTTCGAGACTCACACTTGTATTTAAAGATCTAAAATTGCTTTTGATTTGAAGATCAATTGATCAATTGATCATTTGACTGTTTGATTGAACACTTTTTAAGCTAGTATACTGTAGTAAATGTATTTAATTGTTACAGTACTTTCAGAAAGTCTAACTACACGTGATTATGAGACTTGTCCCAATGAAATGAATCTTGATTTCCATTTCCATTTTCATTCTTTTATAAACCTTTTTCACTTGTTTATCCTTTAGCTGAACAATGCCGGATTTCGAAATAATTCGCCGAATCTATGGATATCCTGATTCGATGTACAATTGCTCTGGAAAGTCATTGGATGAGTGGAAAAAGACGGGAGAACAATGGCCAGCGCTGGGGATGTTCTTGGCTATTCTGGGAACGTTTTATCTGGTGAATCTTGTGAATATTTTAAAGTTTTATATGCCAAATATCTGCCTTAGATTTAAGCTAACAAGAGAATGGTCTCAACTCGAAGTTAAGAATCGATTCTTATCTTATATCTCTTAGAATCGGGGATGCTCATTTGAATCTGCAAAAGTTAACTGCGGATTCGCAAGCAAACGCATAGAAAATCTGACATAGAATAGAAAAGGAAGAAAATCTGGCATAGAAAAAGCTCAAATTCGCTTTATGAGGCCGTTACAAGCCTTCAGCGGCCTCTGTCGTCTAGTGGAGAGTGTTGAGAGTTGAGACCATTCTCGGGTTGAGACCATTCTCTTGTTAGGTCTACAAAACCCTTCAGTTATCTCTAGCTTAGGTTCGAATCCTTCCTTGTCCAATTTCTCTCATTTTTTGACGCATTTCCATGAAATATTTGTATTGTTGGGCATGATTTTTACTTTCCTTTGTTAGCTGTATCTATTACATTTGATTCTAAACTATAGCTTGAATACAGTTAAAGTAATCAGTGACTTATCAGCATATAACCAATACCGTTCGAATTCTTCAAAAACTGCCTAGGCTCTCTACCTGCCGAGTCTTTACGTGATTCTCAAAATGAAGCTTACTTCTCATTCTTGTTATCGGGTGAGTTAAAAGGATTTTAAGGCTAAAGGTAGGTAAAGGCTAAAGGTAGCTAAAGGCTAAATGTAGCTAAAGGCTAAATGTAGCTAAAGGCTAAAGATAGCTAAAGGTAGCTAAAGGCTAAATGTAGCTAAAGGCTGAAGGTAGCTAAAGGCTAAAGACAAAAGGCTAAAGCATAAGCTAAAAGACATAAGCC